ATAATTGAGGTTCATTCACCTGATAGTTATTAGTAGAATTGATAGAAGATCTGGTATATATTATAGTCTTGCGGATGAGTTTAATTATAGTGCTAATAATATTCTAATCATTGTTAGGTATAGGCTTGCAAGATTATATAAACTTATAACACACTTACTCTCCAAAGAAATATAAAGTTCTACAGGATTTCCCTTAATTTCTTGTATAATTTCTTTGGGTTTTATCAGCTAGGCTAAGCATTGATGGGCCAGTGTTATCACCAACGTGTCTGTCTGCTTGTCTGTCTAGCCATTTGGCAATAATGTAGATATGGTCATGTTTTTATCGTACTTAAAAAAGGTACTGTGTTGTTGTCAGCTTGGCGGGCAGCAGTGTCTCTATTTTCTTGTTATCGTGATTCCAGGAAAACAACTTCACAGAATTGTTTCAAAATTTTTACACATGTTACGTGGTAAGAAGTTCTAGAGCTGATTAACCTTTTGGTCATCTTGCTGTCAGGGTCAACAAGCCCACACTGCTATGTTTTAGGTACGATATTGTTCACCATATGCCTTGTTTTGTGTTGTAAATTAGCATTAATTAAGGACATAACACATTTTGCAGTCAATAATCAGCAATCAGGCCAACAAGGGAACAGATTACATTTGTGTTGGTTAATTTATAAAGTATGGTTCTGTTTTAGAGTATATGAACTGTCATGAGCTGTATTTCTGTATATGAGCTGTCATGTTAAATAGGTGGAGTGTGTTTCTGTATTTCATGGTGAGGTACTGTCATGTTAAATAGGTGGAGTGTGTTTCTGTATTTCATGGTGAGGTACTGTCATGTTATATAGGTGGAGTGTGTTTCTGTATTTCATGGTGAGGTACTGTCATGTTAAATAGGTGGAGTGTGTTTCTGTATTTCATGGTGAGGTACTGTCATGTTAAATAGGTGGAGTGTGTTTCTGTATATCATGGTGAGGTACTGTCATGTAATATAGGTGGAGTGTGTTTCTGTATTTCATGGTGAGGTACTGTCATGTTAAATAGGTGGAGTGTGTTTCTGTATTTCATGGTGAGGTACTGTTATGTTAAATAGGTGGAGTGTGTTTCTGTATTTCATGGTGAGGTACTGTCATGTTAAATAGGTGGAGTGTGTTTCTGTATTTCATGGTGAGGTACTGTCATGTTAAATAGGTGGAGTGTGTTTCTGTATATCATGGTGAGGTACTGTCATGTTATATAGGTGGAGTGTGTTTCTGTATTTCATGGTGAGGTACTGTCATGTTAAATAGGTGGAGTGTGTTTCTGTATTTCATGGTGAGGTACTGTCATGTTAAATAGGTGGAGTGTGTTTCTGTATTTCATGGTGAGGTACTGTCATGTTAAATAGGTGGAGTGTGTTTCTGTATTTCATGGTGAGGTACTGTCATGTTAAATAGGTGGAGTGTATTTCTGTATTTCATGGTGAGGTACTGTTATGTTAAATAGGTGGAGTGTATTTCTGTATTTCATGGTGAGGTACTGTCATGTTAAATAGGTGGAGTGTGTTTCTGTATTTCATGGTGATCGAGGTACTGTCATGTTAAATAGGTGGAGTGTGTTTCTGTATTTCATGGTGAGGTACTGTCATGTTATATAGGTGGAGTGTGTTTCTGTATTTCATGGTGAGGTACTGTCATGTTAAATAGGTGGAGTGTGTTTCTGTATTTCATGGTGAGGTACTGTCATGTTAAATAGGTGGAGTGTGTTTCTGTATATCATGGTGAGGTACTGTCATGTTAAATAGGTGGAGTGTGTTTCTGTATATCATGGTGAGGTACTGTCATGTTATATAGGTGGAGTGTGTTTCTGTATTTCATGGTGAGGTACTGTCATGTTAAATAGGTGGAGTGTGTTTCTGTATTTCATGGTGAGGTACTGTCATGTTAAATAGGTGGAGTGTGTTTCTGTATATCATGGTGAGGTACTGTCATGTAATATAGGTGGAGTGTGTTTCTGTATTTCATGGTGAGGTACTGTCATGTTAAATAGGTGGAGTGTGTTTCTGTATTTCATGGTGAGGTACTGTCATGTTAAATAGGTGGAGTGTATTTCTGTATTTCATGGTGAGGTACTGTTATGTTAAATAGGTGGAGTGTATTTCTGTATTTCATGGTGAGGTACTGTTATGTTAAATAGGTGGAGTGTGTTTCTGTATTTCATGGTGAGGTACTGTCATGTTAAATAGGTGGAGTGTATTTCTGTATTTCATGGTGAGGTACTGTCATGTTAAATAGGTGGAGTGTGTTTCTGTATTTCATGGTGAGGTACTGTCATGTTAAATAAGTGGAGTGTATTTCTGTATTTCATGGTGAGGTACTGTCATGTTAAATAGGTGGAGTGTATTTCTGTATTTCATGGTGAGGTACTGTCATGTTAAATAGGTGGAGTGTGTTTCTGTATTTCATGGTGAGGTACTGTCATGTTAAATAGGTGGAGTGTATTTCTGTATTTCATGGTGAGGTACTGTCATGTTAAATAGATGGAGTGTGTTTCTGTATTTCATGGTGAGGTACTGTCATGTTAAATAGATGGAGTGTATATTTGTATATCATGGTGAGGTACTGTCATGTTAAATAGGTGGAGTGTGTTTCTGTATATCATGGTGAGGTACTGTCATGTTAAATAGGTGGAGTGTGTTTCTGTATTTCATGGTGAGGTACTGTCATGTTAAATAGGTGGAGTGTGTTTCTGTATTTCATGGTGAGGTACTGTCATGTTAAATAGGTGGAGTGTGTTTCTGTATTTCATGGTGATCGAGGTACTGTCATGTTAAATAGGTGGAGTGTGTTTCTGTATTTCATGGTGAGGTACTGTCATGTTATATAGGTGGAGTGTGTTTCTGTATTTCATGGTGAGGTACTGTCATGTTAAATAGGTGGAGTGTGTTTCTGTATTTCATGGTGAGGTACTGTCATGTTAAATAGGTGGAGTGTGTTTCTGTATATCATGGTGAGGTACTGTCATGTTAAATAGGTGGAGTGTGTTTCTGTATATCATGGTGAGGTACTGTCATGTTATATAGGTGGAGTGTGTTTCTGTATTTCATGGTGAGGTACTGTCATGTTAAATAGGTGGAGTGTGTTTCTGTATTTCATGGTGAGGTACTGTCATGTTAAATAGGTGGAGTGTGTTTCTGTATATCATGGTGAGGTACTGTCATGTAATATAGGTGGAGTGTGTTTCTGTATTTCATGGTGAGGTACTGTCATGTTAAATAGGTGGAGTGTGTTTCTGTATTTCATGGTGAGGTACTGTCATGTTAAATAGGTGGAGTGTATTTCTGTATTTCATGGTGAGGTACTGTTATGTTAAATAGGTGGAGTGTATTTCTGTATTTCATGGTGAGGTACTGTTATGTTAAATAGGTGGAGTGTGTTTCTGTATTTCATGGTGAGGTACTGTCATGTTAAATAGGTGGAGTGTATTTCTGTATTTCATGGTGAGGTACTGTCATGTTAAATAGGTGGAGTGTATTTCTGTATTTCATGGTGAGGTACTGTCATGTTAAATAGATGGAGTGTGTTTCTGTATTTCATGGTGAGGTACTGTCATGTTAAATAGATGGAGTGTATATTTGTATATCATGGTGAGGTACTGTCATGTTAAATAGGTGGAGTGTGTTTCTGTATATCATGGTGAGGTACTGTCATGTTAAATAGGTGGAGTGTGTTTCTGTATTTCATGGTGAGGTACTGTCATGTTAAATAGGTGGGGTGTATTTCTGTATTTCATGGTGAGGTTCTGTCATGTTAAATAAGTGGAGTGTGTTTCTGTATTTCATGGTGAGGTACTGTCATGTTAAATAGGTGGAGTGTATTTCTGTATATCATGGTGAGGTACTGTCATGTTAAATAGGTGGAGTGTGTTTCTGTATTTCATGGTGAGGTACTATCATGTTAAATAGGTGGATTGTGTTTCTGTATTTCATGGTGAGGTACTGTCATGTTAAATAGGTGGAGTGTATTTCTGTATTTCATGGTGAGGTACTGTCATGTTGAATAGATGGAGTGTATTTCTGTATATCATGGTGAGGTACTGTCATGTTAAATAGGTGGAGTGTGTTTCTGTATTTCATGGTGAGGTACTGTCATGTAAAATAGGTGGAGTGTATTTCATGGTGAGGTACTGTCATGTTAAATAGGTGGAGTGTGTTTCTGTATTTCATGGTGAGGTACTGTCATGTTAAATAGGTGGAGTGTGTTTCTGTATTTCATGGTGAGGTACTGTCATGTTAAATAGGTGGAGTGTATTTCTGTATTTCATGGTGAGGTACTGTTATGTTAAATAGGTGGAGTGTGTTTCTGTATTTCATGGTGAGGTACTGTCATGTTAAATAGGTGGAGTGTGTTTCTGTATTTCATGGCTATGTTAGGGTGCAGTTTCCTTTGATTTGTTTATGAACTACTTAGTGGTTGCTTCTGAGAATTTAACATTTGTTGTATAAACACATCTATGAAGACTCCATGTAAAAGAAATGAAACTTTGAATCAACTCTGTAGTTGAGGCTGTTAAAAATGTTAATGTAACCTTATTTTTGGAGGCTGGCAATTTGTTTGTTTTTTGAGAGGGCATTCAAGAACATTATGAATTGCGCTCTCAGTTCTAAATCCACAGTCACATCAAGAACTTGCTACATTTTAAAAGTTATGGGAATGTACTAGTAAGTGTCTTTGAAGAGAAAAGTCAATTGCAAGTGATTTAAAGTATTTGTCATTTGTTCTAGACAGATGTAAGTTTGAAATAGATATAATAATTTGAATCATATATTCTGATATTTGTGATGTGTATTTGGAACTCCAAAATGGCCACCTTAATTGAATCCTTTGATGGATCAAATTCAGTACAGGTTTCACACTACAATGGTGCTCAGGAGGATTCATATTAATGTAATAGATTGAAAAATGGATACTTCATATTAAAATTAGTCATTCAACAAAAACTAGAACCCAATGCCTTGATTTTGTATTTTTCAGGTTTCTGACAGAAAGTTGAAGCCTCCCCCAGAACAAGTTTTGAACATCAGAGAGCAGTTGATGAATGCTATTAGGAAAGAGCATCAACTGAGGCCCATTCCAGGAAAAATAGGTAAGGTATAAGTTATTTTCTCAATCTTTTGTTCTGTAGATGTACAAAAGCTTAAATGTCCCATACTAATGATATCAATTATTATGATACATACAGTAAAACGACTTCAAGGGAACACCTCACTGGAAGAAAACCTCTCTACAAGGAACAGTTTTCAAAAGAAATATTCTTGTCTACATGTTTCCAGCCAGGCAAACCAGCTATTTGTATGAAAATCTATAACTGATTATTCATTTCTGGCCTTACTGGCTAACCTTTAATGTGGCAATTTTGATTTTCCTTCCCAAAATTTTGTGTGCAAATTGAGAATATTTAAGCGTTGATTGTAAATATCATATTGTGACACATTTCAGATTCATGAAATAACTCAGAATTAGGAATATTTTGTTTGTTTGGATTTGCTACTCTTTGGAGTTGTTGTATTCTAGTTTTATAAGTGTTGATAATGTTATAGTACAAGAACGAAATGAATCAAGAAATGTGAGATTTCAGTGTACATGTATGTTTTATCAATTTATTTCATTTTTGGTTTCTAGTTGAGACTTCACGTACCAAGCTTTGTGAGGGGGATGAGACTCCTCAGCCAACACGCAAGCTTATTAAACCTGACCTGACCCTGTTGCTTTCAAACAGCTTTGATGTAAGTGCTGTCTAGAATACAATGCAGTCTGACACTCATCCCCAATAAAGCATCACCAATAAGGCTATTAAATAAATTGGAGGATGCTTCAATTTTAAGCCATTCTTGAGTTTGACTATCTGACTATAGGACTAAGATTTGGTAAATTTTGTTCTATTGTAAATATTGACTCTGGAAACTATGACTAGACCATGACTCTGTTTTGATTCATCCATTTTTCAACACAGATGTTGGGACATGTGTTACTGAAATAAATATTTTAAGCATTTATTAATCTGGAAAAAGTGTTTCCCATTATGCCTTCAATGTTTGACTTTATAGGAAGATGTTGATGATGATGATGACGATGATGACGATTATGATGACAGTTTTGTGCTCTCCCCTTCACCCACCCCTGAGGATGAGAGGTTCAAGGTGACCCCTTGTGATTTCTCACCCTTCACACCCCCAGATGGAGACCCACAGTCACCATGGCAACAGAAAGGTATGAAATTTACTATGAGCTTTTCTTTTCTAATAATCTTAAACCATAATCAAGGAAGTTAAAGAGTAGCAGAAAATCTGAATCATCTTTTAGGTTGAATATTATTCTCATTAAAATTATTAGCATTTAAAAAAAAATGTAGAAAAATGAAGTGGAAAAGTATGACTCCTGAAGGAGACACTTGACATTACATAAGCATGTATTTTAAACAGCATGTAGTACTGAGGTACTGAGGGAACAAATGTCAAATCAAATTGACAAATGGACTTAATTGTTTTCAGTATTTAGAGATCTTTCTACTCAAAAGTCTAAACGCCATCCAAAACGTCGTCACAGTATAACAGTCTGTGAATCTCCTAGAAAAATCAAGGTATCAAATTGACCCCTTCCCCCTAGCATGGTTTATCAGTTAGAATTTACTAACACAGTTGTCAATGCATATTTATGTCTGAAATTACAGCTTCACTTGTTTTATACTAAGCCCCCACTGTATTAAGGTGGGACTTGTATTTGGCCAAGGAGTATGTTATTTTTATTCCACTAGAACTGGCCATTGTCTTGCACAAAGAGCATTTTGTAAAACTAGACCTTGTAGTTGTAGTGTTTGCCTTCACTTTCAGTTATTGACCTCACCTTAACAGATCTAGATACATCTCGCCATTCTCTGGAAAGACGACATAGTATCACAGTTTGTGAATCTCCTATGAACTCATTAATGGTGGCTATATCACCATTTCAAGCACACTTGCATAAAAGTAGTTCCTTAAAGCATGGTTTAGATGACTTAACTGATGTACATAAAGACAAAACAATTCTCCCCAATGGAAGGGATGATTCAACAGTGACTTCTTGTACTCAAAGTGGAAATAAAATTGATGGATCAGATGCAAATGCTGGCGCCATCTTAAGGGAGACTCCTGAAAGGCGTAAGGGTGAAGCTAAGGCATGCCAGTCGACTCTTCCTAATAAATCTACTTCAAAATCACATAGAAAACAGATTGCTAATTTTACGGTTTGTGCATTCATATTTTTATGATATTTTTCTGATTTTTACATTTTAGTTTAATGACATGAAGTGTGTGCATGTGCATTTTTAAGATTAACACCATCAATTATCAACTTTTCTGAGAACATGCTCTGAAATAGATATATTTAGTTTTAATAGAAAAGTATGGAGGCATATATGATCTGTACATGGATATGAAAAAGTTTGCTTGTAAAATTTAAATTAGTTTGGAAATAAAGCATATTTTTCTATCCTTTAAGGTTTTTCATGAAAGGAAAGGAAAATGTATTAAATATTGAATCAAGACCCTGTGCCAATTTTAAAATGGAATCCTATGAATATGAGATATAAACTTAAAAACAAAACTTTCATGCACAAAATATCAATATTTTTTTAATTTTTACCCATGCTTTTAAGATGTCTTTAGAATGAAGTGTCTCTGCTTTGTAGAAGAGCCTCCAGAATCCACTAGAATGTCTATCACTGACAGTAGAGGAAGTGATGCACATTCGCAATGTTCTTACCAAGGCAGAGCTGGAGACACTGCTCACAGTACCAGGCCTATATGAGTCTGTGGCAAGAGGAAAGGTAATGCCATTTGCAATTGCAATTTTTTTGCTCTCAGGACTCTGTAATCAAAATTGAAACCCCCTTCCATTTGACCATTTTTGATTTCAAGATATATTGACAGATGCCAAGTGTCCATTTCTGTAATCAAATGTAATATTCCTACTTCCAGTTAACCTTCCCATTAAAGGTAAACATGTGAAATCATGTATGGTTTAAGGGTGCACTTTGCTTATTTGACTGTTCTCTGTCTGATTGTAGGTGTGCTTCAACTGTAGGAAGGTGAAGTTCTCTCTACTGGGAGACTGGGGGACACACTGCAAGTTCTGCAAGAGGAAAGTCTGCAAGAAGTGTCTCAGACAGGTAAATATAAAAGGTGTGAAAGAATATAATGGTGAAATCAAATTGTGCCCATTTTTATCACTGATTATTGCAGTCCTTTAGCATTTTATTTAGTCAAGCTACAAGACCTTGTGCAGTGACCCCTCCCCACTGAGATAATGCATTGTCAAGTGGAGGGGGGTCACAGTTGCATTCCTTTAGCATTTCATTTAGTCAAGCTACGAGACCTTGTGGCCCCTCACCACTGAGAGGATGTATTGTCAAGTAGAGGGGGTCACAGTTGCATTCCTTTAGCATTTCATTTAGTCAAGCTACGAGACCTTGTGGCCCTCCCCACTGAGAGGATGTATTGTCAAGTAGGAGGGGGTTACAGAGGCTTGTAGCTGACCTACATTTCATTATCAAAATATTTATAGGAAATCCTATGATTCTGAGGAAAAATAAATTGTTGGAAATCAACAAGTGGAATATATCGTCACAATCTTTGTCTATCCTCCAGTTATTCATTTTGCTAATAGATATCAAATTTATCTTTTAATGTTATTATACATTTAGTACACTAAGTGTAGTATACATGTAAGTTTTCATGTGTACTATCAATAAGCTTGTGAGGTTTAGATGAAACTTTTTACAAGTATTTTCTATATAAATGAAATTGGAATGCCTTTAAAATTAAAAGGGTGCAAGTATTTTTTTCAATTTGGAACGCAAAAAGAATAAAGTTATTTATATTTATTTGAGTTGTGTGCAGTTTGGAGTTGCTTGATCACTACTTTAACCCAATATGTTATATCAATTATTGGGTTAACATGATTTCAACATAATTCTTACAGAAACATTAGTTAATCTATCTCAATTTAATACTATATTCTTATACTGAAGGGGTCCCAATCACTAAGATATATATTAAAAATCTTAAAATTTAAAGTAATTTTAGTTTTTATTAGTAAACCATACTTACCTAATATTGCCACTATGTGCTAACATCCACCATTGAATCTATCTATGGCCAACTTCCCGGGAATTTCTTGAGCATATTACACTGTGCACCCCCGCACACATGCCCGGAGATTCCTCAATTATTCCGCTATAACATTTATGAAAATTCTGCTGTAAGCGGAGGAGGAGGGAGGGACATATTTGTAGTGGCAATATTAGGTAAGTATGGTTTACTAATAAAAACTAAAATTACTTTAAATTTTAAGATTTTACTACGCAAACCTTTACTACTTACACTAATATTGCCACTATGTGCTGAATCCCAGCCAAGTAGGCGGTGGGTTAAACAGCAGAAAGACCACGGGAATAGAATAAATTTGCAACAAACTACAAATTGATCAACCCTACAACTTTAGGTAACCCAACTTTACATCCTAAAGCCTTCGGGACTAAGGAACTTAATAACCTAGTACAAGTTCTGGGGTGAAATGTTCAAACTGTGTTAAACACTTAACAAAACTAATAATTCAGATTCACTATGCTAAAAAACTACTGAGTATTATTTCATATATGACTCAAATGGCCACTATGATAAAAAACGGACGTCTATCTATGGCGGGGTAATTCAACCACCAAAGGTCAAAAACGAACTTATACCACAGTACAAATTCTGACATTCTGATTGGCCATAAAGTTAAGAAAAATGTCAGAATATTTTCTAGCATAGTCTTACATGTCTTAGACTTACATACATGACTTGGAAGTAATTTAAGCTGCCCATTGTGCCTGCTTTAAACATATCTTCCACTCGACTTCTAGAAACAAAGATTGAAGAAGTAGCTACTGGCCTTGACATAACGTTTTCGACCCTTCTTTACTTTTCGACCCTTCTATACTTCTGTATACCTTGTACGTGTATAGATAACAGCTAATAATTGCTTGATTAAAAGATCTAAAGGAATTATATTGAAGTTCCTTAAATGTATCTGGTTCTTCAAAACAATGCAAACTTTTCGTTCTCTCTTTTGAGTAAAGGTGAGACGAAGTACTACATCGGTTACCATATGTTGGACTCTTTATGATCTTCGAACTATGAACACCAGTTGTTTAAATATTCTTGGGATTGTGATAACTCCGAAATCCCAATTACATCTTTAAATATTAAACATCTGGTATAAGTGCTTCTGCAAAGCATTGTAACCCTTAAAGGCTAAGCTATGTCTGAATGATAAACTACGTAGAGATTCATCATTTACTCATTGCCATTAGGATCACATGTTCAATCATTGAAGAACCCATGTACACCCTCCTTATTAGTCGAGTATGCTTGGTTGTTTACAATTCAACAATAAAACTGTGCATATTACCGAACACGTTCTGAAAAAATCGGTAAATTAAAGATAGTCATGTATCCAAACATGTCTAGATGATACCTGCTGAATACAATCCTAGATCTTGGTACAAACCCAAGAAAGAGATTATAATGGTTAAGAGTGAATAAGTTCAACTGAACCACAACACTAACTCAAAACCTTAAAGAATCATTCGACTCTAGAAGAAGTTATCAGGACAAGATCATTTACGAACTGGTTCTGAAAACCCTCCTCTGATATATGCTGACAATTTACTAGAACAAATTGTACGATATCATGATAGAATATATCATTAGAGAGTTCCAATTACAACAATTACAGGTAAATAAGACGACTACCATGTAATTCAGTGGCATTCTAGTCTAATAGCATATATAGTGTGATAAACACCTGCAATGTATTTATCCACAAAGTTGCTAGGGAAGATATACGTTTCATGTATCTTCTAATATTGCTGTTTAGTCATACACAAACATGTATACTATGACTAAAATATGAGTAAATAAACTCATTAGAATGCAATGGAAATGCAAGCTCACATTAATAAGACTTTGATGTTCTAAACATCAATATTCTTTGAATCTGGAACAACAAACAATTCAAGTGAGACGTCTTGATGTCTAATAGTAACTAGTGTTACACATCAATTGAACTGTAGTGTCAGATGTCACAGTATTGCTTTCTTGCAATATAGGTGTTAAAAAACCCATCACGCTTCTCATCCTTAAAATCAACAGGTGTTTCACTTTCTCTTGTTGAAAATGAACCCTGATTTTGAAGGATAGTCTAGCTGTCAAGCAACGTGGATATTAACAACTACGTTATGGTTTGCATCTTTGAACACAAAAATGTTCTTGGGCAATTTTCATCTACCTTGTAAGTGTTCAAGAACCGTTCCCATATAACATGTATAAATAAAACGAGAATTATTCTCGCATTGAAATCCTCTGTTAAACACCTCAAGAGGTTGACCACCATCTGCCTCAATTATGAATGGTACAGAGGAAAATAAAGCAACGTTAAAAGCCTTATTCAATTGCCAAATAGAATAGGCAAACACCACTAAACTACAGTAGCTACGGTAATAGGAATCGAACCGATGACTATGTGGTTCCTGAGAATTTACATTCCTGTGACAGGGCACCAAAATGCCTTGTTAATTACTTGGAATCTTGACATCATAAACCTTAGATGTATATTTGTCCTATTAAGGGGGTAGTGACATTACTAGTCTCAGGACAGGACGATTCCTTAATTCAGTGTTCTACTCAAAACAACATCTGAAAAAATATACTGTCTCAAAAATGAAACTATTTGATAAAGTATAGATGGAGTTGAAGATAATTCGTATAGAAATATCTCCAAAACCGCACGGAAACGACTGTGATTTCCGTTAAAGAACATATGTATAACAGTCAGCAGAAAATGTCTGTGATTCTTAAAATCATGAGACTGTTACAAAAATAACTTGGTCACAATTTGATCACGACAATTTTTGGCATATGTGTGAAAAATTGCCACTGTTAATATTAATTGACCAATGCGTAAAAAGGTAAGTCTGAATCTCTTGTTTGGAAGAGCTCATGTCAAGACAAACGAAACCATGTCTATAACAAAGAGTACACTAGCTCTTGAGTATATAGTACTTCAGTACCACTAAATGATGTATTGAGGTTCTACCACCAAGGAAACATGGTAACAAGTGATTCCATGGTGAAAAAACATAAACCTCTAATCAACATGTAAGATCTCTCAATTAGTGATTGAACTGAACACTGATGATACACTGATTTAAAGTAAATGTGTGGCTATTTAAGACACAAATGTTTACACAGAAGCACGGCACGACTGTGAACCTGTTGAAGATGATACTGTCATGACTGAGGCTGGCTCAGTAAAACACTCTTCAAAACAGTGATTAAACTTAAACCGTGTTTAAAAACTGAGCAACCTGAACAAGGTCAAAATAAACAAATATTCATTCTGTGTGTGATGTGGTAGCAAACAGGCCAATGGTCTGTATATACAGATATAGGGACTTGTTATAAGTAAGTATAACTACTTCCCCTCGTCACAAAATAAAACCTTTGGAATAACACCCAAGGTTGTAGTGAAAAACACAGAATTTGATTTACAGTCTCTTGAACTGACTTACCAAGAGATCTGAAAAGTCATCTTAGACTTCAATAATCAACTTTTGACTTCAAAAGCTGTCAAGGCTAAGAAAAATAAAGGAAACAAAACCTTTACTGAGGTGATGTTTTAGACATAACCTTACTTTAACTGGCAAACTGAAAGCCGCCAAATGTTTAAGTTTTCAAAAAACCTCGACTGTAATCTTAATTCCTCAAACAATTAACACTGAGTTGAATGCTTTATGAGAAGCATCTGGCGAAAGTAACCTATGTCAAAGATACTTCCGCCAACTCAACTCTGAACGTTAATATTCCAGGAATAGAGTCTAAATAGGAGTATTCAGAAATGATTCTTGAGAATATAAAGATTTCAGTCTGAAACTCAGAAATGACAAGTTCATGACATTGTCATTTGTCAACGCATACAACACTTCTTATATGAATAATTACTTGTGTTGTTCAGTTGTTGGCTAATATAGCTAGAAGAATAGTCTAGTGACTCAAAACTAAAACAATCTAAGTCACCTTCTACTTCTCTGTTGAAGAGACGGAATCAACCAATAACAGGATGATTGTGATCATCCATGAATCGTTTTCTTCAGCATATAGTAATAGCAACATCTACAATTACTTGGAGAAAACAGGAACGCTCAATCAGAGACAATAACTTATAGGTCTCTGATTCGAAAAGATCTACGTGGAAGATGAGTAGGCTAAAAAGCTATATTGGTCTTTTCTGTGAAGAAGATGACGACTTCACAGTAGGCCTACTGTAAACCTTACAGTTACTTTTGTTAATCTTTAGCCTATCCTTTTTCTGAACAGTAGACAAACAACTCAGTCCAGAAATAACTGTACCAAATGCATAAGTGACAAACTTATCCTGCTGCGCATAACTAGTATAAAAACTAAATGGACTAAATAAACTAATTATTCTGTGGTCAGCATACGTGTTCTATGTATGCATACTACACCAGGTTTTACAACATACAATGTTATTTTCTAAATACATTTAAATGTATGTGAACCAAGTGTCTTCATCTGAACATCATCGTGATCACGCTACTGTAAGATGAAGAAATATCTTCTTCATCTTAGGATCATACAGTCTATGCTCGACACATGTCAAATCCCGAAAGACAAATTTACTGGTGTATTTATTTCTTCATGTTTACATAATTCATATCGGGACTGGAGTCCTTTTATAAACTATGCATAAAGAAAAGAGATGATAACTGCGTTCTAATGAACACGTATGTGTTTTCATTGTGGACTTACAACCAAAAAACACATGAGCAGTAAAGAAGCCATTTCGTCTGCGTTCTCCTGAACACATATGTGTTTTTATTGTGGACTAACAACCAAAAACACCTCAGCAGTAAAGAAGCCATCTTCAGATGTAGATGTAGATATTTTTCAAATTTCTCATATTCATCTGGAACTGAACACGTTTATGTGATAAATACAGAGACGAAGAATTGAGAGCTATGTAAACTTGAACAGTTAATGTTTTCTTTATGGACTGACAACCAAAAGAAAGACCTCAATGTAAGGCAGGGTACTGTAGGCATAAACACAGTGTCTACCTTCTTCGGGCTTCCTTACTTTCTTATCTGGATTGAAAACCTCTCATGTAACATAACACAGAGAAGAACATGTAATATTACGTTCTCTGTACATGATGTCTTCTGTTGGTCTAATGACCCCTGTGAAATTGTCATTTATATATGACAAATTGTCTGGAAAAGGTCAATTGACACTAGAGACCTTTTCCATATGCTTACTATAATCTCATGTCGGGACTGAAGACCCTATATGGAGCAAGCAAAGAAAAAACGAACGAGGTAAGATCTTCGACATTTTTATATCAGATGTTTTCTTTGTGGACTAACAACCCAAAGAAAAAACCTTGAAAACTTGTCTTACATGTCTTATAGTTCCATATGATCTATTTTCCTCGTCCTCTTACTTTCATTTGTAACTGATGAACCTGTAGAACAACTAACTTCCTAGTTCCGTGTCCATAGTCACAAGTTATTTGTAAATTTATTGCGATTCTAAAATTTCCGACTTTACAGAAGGAAAATGGCGGAATAATTGAGGAATCTCCGGGCATGTGTGCGGGGGTGCACAGTGTAATATGCTCAAGAAATTCCCGGGAAGTTGGCCATAGATAGATTCAATGGTGGATGTTAGCACATAGTGGCAATATTAGTGTAAGTAGTAAAGGTTTGCGTAGTAAAAACACAATATATTTGATATATGTTTTTACTTACTTTAATTGCAGTACATTAACCTGTTCATTACTATGGTTGGTGCTGGGGAGGCTGGTGGGCTTTCCAGGTTATGAGTTCACAAACTGATTCCCGCCTAATGTAGTCACGTGACATTTCATCCTTATCACATGATCTTCGTAAATTAACTCACCTATGCACTTGTGCCATCTATACATCACTTACGAGATAGATTTAACTGTATGAATATCTAGTGATCTGAGCCAACTCCAAAACACATAAATATTTATATTTCATATAAGTCATATTGTGTCATTATTTTGATCATATCATTTTTGACATTTAATTCTATTTTGAGGCTTTTATTTTTCAGATGCAGATCCCTAGTGAACATTTTGAGAACATCCCTGTGTTTGCCCTCAGTCCTGGCCTGAAGACACCTAAAAATAAGGATCTCATTGAAAATGAGAGGTTTGAGAATATGATATTAGCATGTAAAACATTCAAAAATTGTTTTCTTTTTGCTTTGTGGAGTTATGATTATTTTGAATACATAATTCTCACAAAATCATGGAAATGGTGCATTAATTTGCCTCTATGATTTATATCATTGATATAACTTTCGGGATTCCTTTGCAATCATATAAATGTAATGTTATTTTTACACTATAACTGAAACCAGGGGGAAAGGTTTCTCAATAGAATCAAGACTCATGACATTGCAAAACACTCCTACTTTTATGGAAATGTACTTTGAAGCACTTCTCATTTAACACACCTTACATGCCTTAAATGTAATGTTGATATGTACCACTGATCTCTGCACATCTTTTACATGTGATTTTTTTCTTTAGTTCTGGGTCGGCACCAAATTCTCCGAGGCTTGCAGTAAAAGATATCAGTACCCCATCACCAGATGCAGTAAATGTTAATGGCCACAAAGCTGAGACTCTCAATGTGAACACTTCTAATAGTAACCCTGTGATGCAGCGCTGGCATAAAGCCCAACAGTTGCTGCTGTCACCTAGAATGGGGAGGGGCTCTATTGAGAGCCCTCTATTGGCAATATGTACAGACTGTAAAGACATGATCTGTCATGTGATTAGGGCCAGCAGAGTGACTTTAGCTAATGCACCTGACACAGGCACTCTAACTTTACCTCAGCCTACTCAAAGGAAAGTTAACCGTAACTTCCATCTGAAACTGAAGCCAGTATATAAGCTGTAGAGCTTTAGAGTCTACAGTAAAACCTGTTTGATGGAACCACCAGAAGCAAGGCTGTCTATGATTTAGACTTATCAGTGAAACCTGTAAAATAAAATCAACAACGATGGTTTAGAAATTATGTAATCAGTATCATCTGAAAAACTGATTGACACATAGATGTTATAGGGCTATCTCTATCTCTCTGTTTACTTGAATTAGTTAATAACAACTCCATATTGTATAAAGTGAAAACTCATTGATCAGCTGTGCACAATTTAGTACATAGTTCATTGGACAGAAATTTCACTGTAAGTTTACATATAAGTAAACAGATTAATATGAGGCCACTTTGTGATAAAGATATTGTAAATATTTATATTTATTACAAGAAGGCAAGGCCTATAAATTTTGTAGTTATTATCATTTTATTAATTTATTTTTAGACTCTGGATTAAAAATCTGCAGTCTATTACTTATTTACAGTACATGTATTTCAATTTATTATTATTAGACTCCAGATTCAAAATCTGTTTACTAGGCTAACTCTAGTTGCTTTTTTACTCTGATGCTACCTTTAGTAAGTTTATATCTTCCTTCATCTATGGACACATTTATGCAAAGAGACTTGTTTTAAAAGCTTTAAGGCCAAATCCAAGATATAGGGGGTCACAGAATTAAACATTTGCTATATAACCTTGAAATCTCATTGTTGAAGTCTTATTTTGAATGAGATTTGCATGTTAAAATACTAAGGTCACTCACATATTTCTATTTTTGACATGTTTGAATTCTTTGCTGAATTTTCTTATAGTAGAAATTTAAGCCAATAATTTTATTTTATTCAACTTCCAAGGATCTTTAGCTTTTCTGAAGAAAGGTCAGGTTAATTAATAATAAACCACTGACAAAATGTTAAAAAATGATTTCTTATGATTGGGATCACGGGTTAATTCTCAATCCACATGTTAACAAGATCAACTAGTTGTATGCCAATTTAATTTAATTTTCCAAGTTCATTGTCAAGAAAAACTTGATTAAGTTGATGTGATTCAACCTTTTAGGTGATGTAATTCAACCTTTTAGGTGACTTGATAGAGCACCAAAATAGTGTAATAACACTAACTCAGTGATATGATATACATCTTATTCATTTGTTACATACCTGAAAGAGGTTTTGTTTTGAAAGTATAATGTCTCATAAAGAAATTCATATATAATGCAACGTATAAATCAGACCCTTTGCAATTGAGACATGGCTACAAGGGTGACCCACAAAAAACTAAACCCTCTAAAAGTTATCCTATCAACCCAATTTGTATGTGCATGAACTAGAATCTATAGATGATAATATGATATTAAGGTTGTTACACAAAATTGATTATTTGTGATAACATGGATGATCTTTGAAATCCAAAGATGAAGTGAAAGTATCATTTAATATTTAAATTGAAAAAATTTAAACTTGTAAAAATCAGATGACTGAAATTAGTGGCCTCTGAGCAAGACTACAAAATTCCATTGGATAAATTCTCATGAAATCATAAAGACCGCAAAATGATAGGTCTGAGCATGAGACATCAAAGTCAAATATTCAATTATTTGTTGGAAGAGGAAGAAAGGTAAACTGTGAAATACCCTAATGGAAAAAATGATCGGCTTAATTGACCATTAACAAGAAGAATATTGCATTTTATGTAAAGAATTTAGTCTCACATTGTCATCCATAGATTTGTAGTTAGTTTCTGTACATGAAAAATGAAGCTGATTACAAATGTATTAAAGAAGTTATTTCATTTTTGGAGGGTTCTGTTTTATGGATCACCCTGTATACAGACAGCTTAAAGTACACCTGACCATCTTACATAAAACATATGCCTACATGTATACACTCATGTACAATCACGCATGTATGTATAACAATGGGTAGTGTTCTTTACTGATAAATGTAACAATATTCAAACAAAACCTTATTCATGTAGATAACTGTTGCAGAAACAGGCCTTGGGTAAACAATTATGATTGTACAGGGTGTTTCATAATGGCTGTCCCCAATCCCCCATCCATAGTCAATCCTGGATCACATACCCCCATGATGTATATACATGGGCTCCACAATATACTCACCCCAATTTCCTCAATTCTTGGCCAAAATTTATACTGGATTTAAAGAGATGTGCAGATCAACTATATAATCCATTGTATTATTAAGAGCTATCATTGAGAGCTCTCAGAGTCGTTGGTGTTTAAAGGGTTCCGATTAGCATCCCGTATAAAAACAATATGGCGGCTCCAGGCGAATCAACTGGATCAGTCCATTTTTAAGAAATAAGGGGAGTTCTGTAAAATCCAGTTTATTGAAATTGTCTTTGAGATAAAGTAATCTGTTTATAATGATTTTGAAAACGTTATCCAAAGAGTGATTGCGTTCAAATAATACATGTACAACAGCCAATATAAATTCTTGTATTAGAAACCGGTTTGTGTTGCTTTGTTTCATTTGTAGGATATTTCATATGCCAAGCTGTGTGCTATTACGTTATGGGGAAATTTAGATGCCAATTTTTCCTTATTATACACAAATAGAAGATCCTGAAACTTCACCCATAAATGTGGAATTGATTTGTCAAAATAAAAATCACCCTTTTATAAATGTGTGACGATCTATAATATACTTATGCTATATAACAGTTAGAGGTGTTGACACAACGACCTTGAACCTGTGAACCCTTGAGTATTATTCCGGTATCGGGCCTTTTATACTAAACGGTGAGCAACACCAGAAACGAGCGTTCGATTTGCTAAACGATATGCGTCACCCTTTAATAAGTAAAGCTTGTTCAAGCGGAACACCATTTGTACCTTCCATTGGAGAAGGTTGATTTGTATCCAAAAAGTTTTTTAACTGTATGTAAATAGTAACATCCGTTACTGGAAAGCAAATCAGTCACTAGTATATCCATCCAATGGCTCCATAAATCAATGCAACTAAGATGTTATGAAATATGCTAAATAAGGTGTAACGTCTTTTTAACCAGGTGGGGACCAGTGAACATATGCTCTCCAGGATTGTTAGTTGAGAGGGGATGGTCGTTCTGAAACACCTTGTATTTTTAGTTTACAGATTTATCTTTTATTTGATTTTCAATTTTTTTCCACAGTAAAGCAATGGTAGTAAGTAATGAATCATGCAGAATTTCCAAGCTTGAAAGTAACATTGTCAGTAGTTCATGGTTAAGATTTAAATATGTATGTGGCTACAAAATGATAAATAAACCAACATTTATATCATATAACATTATCATTGAGTTAAGTTTGGATGGGCCTCTTAAAAATGAGCTTTAGCTAATTATGTCACCAAAAAGTGGTGAAATATTATTATGGTTTCCGTTTTTGTGGCGGCGGTTGGGGGTGGTGGTTTCATCCGTAACAAATTCTTAAACTTCCAAATACATGTACTGTTTAGATTGACCTCAATTTTTTCAAAATCATCTACAAGTTCAGAAGTTCAAATCTGACTCTATATTTAAGATTTCACCTTCAATGATCTTTTCAAGGTCAAAAAAGGTTGACAAAAGTCTTTTTCAACTTGCTTCGAATTGACCAGTTTTTTTTCAAAATCATCTACAAGTTTTCAGAAATTCAAATCTGACTTAAGATGGAACTAATGGTATTCAACTAGGCGGTGACACTTTGTCATGTTAATGCCTTGTTTTAGTGGTTGTTACATCAATATTGGGTATTATATGGGGAAAGTTTAAAAATGATGCTTTATAAGAACAACTAAAACAACTTTGCAAAATATATTGGTGAATGTATTTGAATGTATTCAGTAGTGTTAACATCAACCAACAGTACAATTATGACACAAATATAAAAAAGCATAGTGGAGTCATCATGACATTTATTATTAAATAAACATTACATATTTTTAAACATTTTGCAAGTCAACATCAACTGCAGACTTGGATCTAAGAAAAGTATATTTTTAGACACCCTGTAGACATTTACAAATGTAATTGTGCAAGAAAATGCTACTTATAAGAACTTTAATTTTTACTATAATTGTGTGATAAAAAATGCTACATGTAAGATTTTAAATTTTCACTATACCTATGCAAGAAAGTGCTACTGCAAGAATTTTGATTTTTACCGTAACTATGCGAGAAAATATACTACATGTAAAAATCTTAAATCTACACTATAATAAACTGACAGAAAATGCTACATTTAAGAATTTAATTCTCATTTACTCAAGCCTTTAATTTGCACCAAAGGAGTGGTATCGATATGGTGAACTTTTTGAAAACACGTTTCTCTTAAACCATTCATCTAAAAATTCTGAAAATCTTACACATTGTCAATTTAACGTCATTTTTTACAGAATGTTTTCAATAATTGGTTTAAGATAAAAACATTGCTTTTCTCAGTTCACCATATCGATACCTATTCTTTACTCTAATCTAATCACCGGAAAAGTTAAAATACAGTTACAGTATATATGTCTGACTGAATTAGCAAATAAAGTAAGTACAATTTACAACATCACAAAACCACTTCATTCCCTGCACTCATCTCATTAAAATCTTCTATAAAAGTTACACTAAAATTTTGCTAACCTGAATGCAATTGGCCTTCTTTTTCCCATGATAAACCAATAATGTGGAAACAAAAGGTAAAAAATTACATTTTAAAGTAAATGGGCACCTTGATGGCTTTAACTTAAAAAATAGAAATTTATTTAAGAATTTAAGCCCTGGACTCAGTGAAATGTGAAATGTCCATTCCTTGAAGGTGTTGCTTTCCAAAATTTGGTCATTTCACAATACATTGAGTCTTTGGCTTAAAAATCTTTTCACACACTGCAAAATATTTTCTACCATGTCACTTAGAAACGAAATCACTAAAAGAACATATTTTCAATGACACTTTTAGAAATGGTCAAGTTGGCAAAGCACATTTAATTCTGTAGAAAAAAGTTGTCACATTGACAACCACAAGGGATCACCTTGGATGTGGTGATTGGTTATATCATGCACTGCAGTTATATGAAATACTGTGTTTGGATTGGCTGGAAGCGGACGCACCTTGCCTTGTGTGAATCAATATCAAACAGAAGTGAAGGAATACACTCAATGATCTACTACACTTTGCAGAGTCAGTTGCTGCAGAGTCAGTGTTTTGAAACCTCATAGGCCTATTTATAAATTAATTGTTACGGTTTCAAAGAAACTCTTAGATAAATATATACATGTATGAGGTTTCAATATACCAAAGAAAATAGTCCACTCTGTGTCATATCCTTGTTTCAAAATAGCTTAACAATGCAATGGTAATGTAAACTGTTAAAAACAGTTTCCCATATACATCTTATTAAATAGGGCAAGAATACAATATATTAATAACCAATGTGCTTTGATGTTCTTTTAGACCTCTCAAAATTAAAGATCAATTTGAAAATATTTGATAAATCACATATAGAGATTTAAAAGTGTTGACATGCAGGTTGTTATTGTAAACTGTTTGTAATATTGACCTTGGCACGTTGTTGACAGGTTTCTCCAAAATGTAGTTTAACAATGGCTCAATGAAATAAGAGGATTACAATCAATCTGTTCCATTATCAACAGCATTTCTTATTGGTTTAAAAATACACACCTATTTTACACACCCATGATTTGAAGGTTACTACTTATAGTCATTATCAACTTCCACTTAATCAAACCTAAGAGCTCAGGCAAGGTGAAGGGAACTTCAGGTCAATAGAATAGAATGTAAAATCATGTGATACGAAACATTGAGTGAAATCTGAAACCTTGATTTAAGTAGCTGAACCCTTTTCTGCCTAAACACCATCTCAGAGTTCACCTTTTTTGTATCTGTTCCTACCAGGATTTTACAGCTAGACCCATGGGAAAGTGAGGATCACAATCAGTTAAACATGATAAAAGTGATTGCATAATCAACTAATTTTAAAATTTCATTTTTATACAACTTAAAAATGCTTTGAATTAAAATGACTCATTTACAAGTAACATGTTCTTAACAAATATTCTCATGTTGTTACTTAATACAAAAATGTTACATTTCAGGTAAAAATACACAGTACAATATATACAAGAAATATACCTTCCTACTAGTTTGGTTTGCAAAGTAGTATAATATTCAAAGTAAGTTCAAAATAATTCTCTTATTGAATGCTGTAGATTCTATAAAATCCAGGATTTTTAACCTCAAAATCAACACTAAAACATTTACACCATCCATCTAAATATTAATTTTGTCATACAATCAACAAAATAGCTGAAAGGGAAAGAATCTTACAGTTGGTGTAATAAATAAACATCAGTCATATCCCCAAACGTAAAAATATCAAGATGTGTCAAAATGTGCCTCTTTAAATGGTGTTTATTTTACTTATATTCACTTTTGAGTAATTTATTTGACGTCCACATGTACTTTAATGCAATGTTCATTGTTAATAAACATTTGACATGTGTAAATATTTAGAGGTTATGTCACTATCGTGGCATATATGCCCGAGGTCTCAGTGATATATGGCCCGACCTTGGGAGGGACATTGATCTCTGAGAACCGAGGGCATATGTGCCACGATAGTGACATAAACGATTTATAACATACCTATGATGATGTAGACTGGTCAGAGAGTACCGTTTTCTTATAGAATTGACAAACAAATGGTTTGAAAATGATTGAAATGAGTTTAGAATAATTGCTCGCGCAGTTTTATCTTCGATTGATTGGTTATGACGTCAGCGCCCTGACCAATCAGAAAGTTAGCGGGCGCGGGCTTTTCAAAACTTATATTGGCCCGCTGTCTTGTGTACACTTTGCACTATACATCATCATAGGTATGTTATAAATAGTGTTATGACATAATATTCAAGTTATAAACAGGCACAATTGTACATAATACTAATCTAATAAACCCTGATTTCCAATAAGTTAATGCTGTATAAATACCTATTACCAAATATGGTATAAGGAGGTCCACTCAACTGCTATTGCGTGAAAAGTAGTGAGACTTTACAAAAGGTTCTACTGTATTTAAAAATGTACCCATATAATGAATTTTATATAAAATGAGGTCCATATGCAATGTAAAATGGAATGTGTCCATATGCAATGTAAAATAGAATGTGTCCTGTATAATATCATCATAAAACATCATATGTAGATTGAGCAAATTGTGAACACTGGTTAGATTCACACAGTTCAGTTGTAGACTGACTTTGGTTGGAGTCCTTCCAGAGAGCAAGCTTTAATTTACGTTGCTTTCTCTTTCCTACAGAGAGTTGGCCGGCTGTATATTCTTTCACTCTGAAAAAGTTGCATCATAAATATTACTTTTCAAACATATAAAACAATTATAGATTGGTTTGTAAAAAGATTTGAAATTGTAAACTTATACAAAACTTGTCAAATATATGATATTGTGTTTAGAAAAATTTAATTTTCAATTCAGTTCAATTTATTTTAAATTTTATACACTATAATAACAAGGAGGTAGACAATAGACATCCAAGGGCCAAACATGTACGTTGAGAAATGAAAAATATAACTACATATGTACGGAGACCACATTTAAAGCAGTTTCAGTTTATTTACAATTTTAAGTTACACTTCATGTGAAATGATTATGAAAATTAATAAAGACATTTTATTTAATTATTTGAAAAATGAGGGTGTTGGTTAAAGAATTTATACATGAGCTGACCAATTGGATGTCTCTTAATATCATAAATAGTCAATACTTTGAACTTTTCAAATACATGAAGAGAAGTATGAGAGAACCTAGCTATCCTTTCTTATAAATTGTTTCAAACTGTTTCTGGAGATTATGAAGTTGATCATTGTATAATATGAGCATTCGTTTTTAGAATTGGCCATACATATACATGTATTTAAATCAAAGTGTAGTGTTAATACCTCAATAAGCATTCCTATACAATACTGCCCTAGCATCTCTACTGCATCTTTAGAATGTCCTTTATCATAAAATGCCACTGTGACATCACGCCCTGCATTCTCTAGGATTACATCCTCCCCACCTGGATGCTAAAGTAAGAAGGAGAATCAGGGTGAGAGTGTCGTTAAATATCAGACATTGGGCTCCAAGCCTCAAAATAATGGCCCCAATACAAGACAGACCTTATTCGGATTGCTTGATGCTGGTACAGTAATTTTCCAAGCATATAACATAACACACTATAAGTTATTGAATGATTTGAAGTGCAATACAGGATATATTCTGCTTGAGAAATTCTGTATTGGAACGAGACGAAGTTGAGTGCCAATACAGAATATCGAGACAGAATATATCCTGTATTGCACTTCAAATCATTCAATAACGTTTTTATCGTGTGATCCTCTGTATTGCTACTCAGATTGTCCCCTCCGTATCAATATTTTCTGTATTGCGACGGAGATGACCAACGGGGACAATCTCAGTAGCAAAACAGATTGGTACAACACAAGAACTGACCAATCAGAGGGCTTCATTTTACAGATCATACGATAAATGGAGTTTTCAAATAACATATACTTAGTGATGATAAATAACATTCTGCTTACCTCCTTTAAGAATGGTGTTATGTCATACACTCTATCACGTAGGACAATCCAACAGTCATTATATTCCCAATGATCTGCCACCTCATTAAGTGTGAAAAGTTTTATATAAGACTCAACTGTTTTATCCTGAGTTTCTATGCTCAACTCCATCATTCAGACAGGTATTTATCTAATTCTTAAAATGTTCTTCAGTCAACTCAGTTCTGTCTCCACATCAAAAGAGTAGAATGGAATGTAAGAAATTTGTACAGTACTGCACAATTGTTGAGGTATGAAAATTGTTCTGACTCTTCACGAAATAACAATTATCATCCTTCCCCCTTTGCCTGAAAATAAATAATAAAAAATGAATTCCTCAATAAATCACCAATGAACCTTTATTATTGAGTGAGTATGTTTCTTTTGATCATGAGACTTCTCATACTATAATTTTAAAAATACCTCAGAATATGCTGCTGTGAAGGGGTATAAAATTCAAATGAAAAACATGTGATAATGTTGAATGAACTCTATTTGACATCATGTTAAAGTGCAAATAATTATCCTTGAACACATTGAACTTTGCAATCATAAAATGTAAAGTACATTATGTAGGACAGAATCTCTCTTTTTAATGATAACTGCCAATATGCTATATTACTGAAGATGCAGCAAGGTTGTTTAATTATTGTATGATCTGTAAAATGAAGCCCTCTGATTGGTCAGTTCATGTGCTTTACCAATCTGTATTGCTACTGAGATTGTCCCCATTGATCATCTCAATAGCAATACAGACAATATTGGTACAGAGGGGACAATCTCATTAGCAATTCTCTAACGACATTTTTATCACAAACGTGTATCAGTTTCATATGTAAGAAAATGTATATGTTTGTGAAAAAATTATTCAGAAGACAACAGAATTGTCGATTTAATACCTCACTGGGAGTTTGGGAAAATGAGTTATCAAGTTAACTTATGTTATATAATGTTATGTAATACATGTATTATGTAATAAATTCCACTGCTCCAAACACATGCTTTTGTTCTCTCAATATTCTGCATTGGCACTGGCCTTTGTCTCATGCAAATACAGAATTTCTAAAGCAAAATATATCCTGTATTGCAATCATTCAATAACTTATATTATCGTATGATCTGTACAATGAAGCCCTCTGATTGGTCAGTCCTTGTGCTGTACCAATCTGTATTGCTACTTAGATTGTCTCCATTGATCGATCATCTCCGTAGCGATACAGATTATATTGGCACGGAGGGGACAATCTCAGTAGCACAGAAAATATCTTAGGGATTATCTCCTAAGTAAAATGTACTGGCCTAAGATCACACGATAAAAATATTAGCAAATGATTTGAAGTGCAATACAAGATATATTCTGCTCTCGATTTCTCGAGCAGAATATATCCTGTATTTTGAAAAATGGAAATCAAAAATATCAAACTGGGAAACGAGTATGCAACTTTGAAGAGGAGCTCTAACCATGGTTCATGTTTGCTCCTGTAGTAATTCACTGGTCCACCTCTTTCCATCTTGATTTAAACTAGACAACAGCAACGCCAAAGCATAGCTAATCCCATCAAACAGCCAAAATGGCCGCCAAAATGTCATAAGACAATGTGCCATGCTTATGAGTATTTACATATCAAATATGAACAAAATCGTTTTATCATTTTTTGAGTTATAGTAAAAAACGTAAAATAACACACATAAAAATGGTGGCCATTTAGAAAAATTTTCGCCTACTCCCCAAAGTGATATGCTTCTAGTATTCACATATCAAATATGAACAAAATCGCTCTACTACTTTTCGAGTTAAAGTAAAAAAAAAGTGTCATTAGACAGTGTGCCATGCTAATAATATTCACATACCAAATATGAACAAAATCACTCTACTACTTTCCGAGGTATAGTAAAAAACTTTAAAATGGCGGACATTTTTCAAAATGGCAGCCTTCTACTAAAAGTGTCATTAGACAGTGTGCCATGCTTATATAGCGTTCACATACATGGATCTCTAACTTTCTGTCTGATAGAACCCAGAAAGTTAGTGTAGATGGGTCTTCATCTGAAATCGGGCAGGTAACATCTGGCGTGCCACAGGGAAAGGTATTGGGACCGATATTATTCCTGCTGTATATTAATGACCTCCCCGATGCTCTACAACATACAACCCTCCAATTATTTGCTGATGACAGCATCATCTACAGAGAAGACCTAAATGCAGCTGTAGAATGGGAGAAAACTTGGCTGATGAATTATCATCCTGACAAATGTACTGCATTGTCTGCCAAGTTGAATCCCAAAATCTACAAGTATGAAATGAGTAGACACACCTTGGAACATACCATCTGCTAGCTACCTTGGTGTTACCTTACAAGACAACCTTAAATGGAACCCGCACATAGACAAGTCTATATCTAAGAGCAAACAGCTTCTTGGCATGCTGAGAAGACACCTGTGGAAGGCCCCTTGCCACACAAAGCAGATGGCTTACTTTACTCTAGTAAGACCAAGACTGGAGTATGCTGCTGCTGTATGGGATCCACACACCCAAACCCACATGCTGCACTAGAAATGGTCCAACGAAGAGCTGTACGCTATGTGATGAATGACTACAGTCATTACAGCTCAGTGACGACAATGCTGAATACACTATGATGGACACCACTTGAAACGAGGAGACAGCAACAGCGGTTGACGATGATGTATAAGATCAAACAACAACTTGTTGCAATCCCATAAGACACATATACCTCATGCCTCTTCTGCGCAGATCACGGACTACACATAGTAAGAGCTTCCAGAGGTACAGTTTCAGGAAGGATGCAATGCTCCATTCCTTTTTCCCACGCACCATACCTGAGTGGAATATACTACCTGACAGGATTGTATTGGCAGAGAGCTTAGACCAGTTCAAGACTAGTCTAAGGGCTCACTACCTTACACCCATGTCTTAATCTTATACTGACTTTTTAACCTAGTATTTTAGCTTTTTATTACCTAACACTGTTTTTTGCTCATGAACTTGTTGTTGATGTTCATGTTTTAACTTTCTCGTACTACCCGCAGTATAATGATTAGTAAAATTGATCAATTGTGTACTATTCAAATGATAATGTGTTGTGCCTCTTATACAGCTATCTCCTCTATCAAGAGATAGCTTTGTGGCAACTAAGTAACGTGCCTCCATGAGTTGACATTTTATTTCATATCCAAGTCAAGATACAAAAGCGATCACTGTGCTCACAGATATTGGCCAGATCGTTTTGTAGTAGGATCTAATAGGCTCAAAGAATAATACAATTATATTTTTCACTTGATCCAGGCTCTTGTGTGTCCAAATATCATTGCAAATTTGACGTCACTTTTCTGGAATCATGGGACCACCATTCAGATTTGGACAGACAAGAGCCTGGCGATATAATATCACTATTTTGACCTCTTATCAACGCAGGATTGCTTGAATACCGTTCATTGGTGATCAGAAACGTAAAAAATAACAAGACACTTTGAATAATGTAGTATTTGTCTCATATTTTTCTGAATTGGCTGCACAATTTTAAAAATTTCGATATTTTTTTCTTCATCTGGAGGAATATTAACTGAGCTACTGATTCTACTACAAAAGAATCTGGCCGAGATCTATGACTCTACGTACCTTCATAATCATAAGCAAGTCCTTGCATGCATAAGCAATTGTAATTACCACTCTTTGGAGACACCGATCGGCGCAGGTCTATTTGCCGGGATGTTTGCAAAGTTTGCTCTACTCTAGATTAACGAACAGAAGACAATCTTAACAAGAATAACCGATATTATGTACAGGTTATCTATCACAATGCGTCTTTTAAAAGACTGGATAATCCTCTTTTGGATAAAAAAAGAAGTTCTTCTGGTCAGATCTCACCCTCTTCTTTTCTATGAATTTATGTCATCCTTATTTAATAATAAAAGCCTTCATTTTACTACTTGCTTCACATAGTTTCGATTTCTAGTTGTTCGGATATTTAGCGTGAAAACTTCCGGTATAAAAAAAACTTGACTCAAAATTTTGATTTGTCTGATCTTTCGATGGATTTACAGAATATAACCAACCGACATGCTTTTAATCACTTATAAGTCCTTAGTAGTATAAATAACATATTCAAGGAATGAGATGATTTGCGCCACCAGACAGAGGTAAAGTGCATTCTGTTTTATCTTAGATCTTAGTTTGACTCCTCAGTCATGAGTCAGTCAATGTACTGTGTAGGTTTAAGAAATTCTCCATCTAAAATGTCACTCGACTTTTTTGTGATTATGAGTCAAAGAAAGCATTCTTGAGTTTCAAATTGACTTCTGTGGTAACTTGAAACCATCTTCTAATTTATTCCACTTACCTTTTATTGTTTCTCCAAATATATTCTTTGAAAATCGGATTTTAAGGGTGTTAATCAGGGTAATTCTGTGCAATTTTATCAAAAATCTTGTTGCTATCTAGAAACTAGCAATTGTGATCTTGTTGTTACCTAGGAACGAGCAACTGTGATGTCACGTCACACTCATGTTAATTCTGGAATCATATGGCAGCCATTTTGGAAATTTCAAAAAAGTTCCCAATTAAAAAGGCTAAATGCTGTTCACAAATTGGAAACTATGGCAGAATCAACAAAGGGTTTGTGAAATAATTAGGATATGGTTTCAAAATTATGCACATGACAATATATGACTAATAAATGCAGGCAGAGACTTTTAATTGCCAAAAAGTCGAGTGACATTTTAGATGGAGAATTTTTTAGTTTAGGCGCATTATAATGCAGTTTTGGTCCTTTATTTATCTGAGATTTGTCACTGGCCCAGATTGCAAGGTCAAAACTCTGAAAGCAAAAGGCATTAGACCCGAGTGTCTTATAGTCAGTGTGAGTGTGACAGCCGTTCAACTGTCAAGCAATTTGCGTATTTGAAGAAATTGAACTCACGCCAGCTTTATTTGAAATTGACAGAATATGTCACGCAAATAATATTTTACCTGATAATTGTCAAGCAAAAATATTTCTATAGAAGAACTAAAGTTGTACTAAAACCAATTGCAGAATCTCTTATTATCTTATATTTAGCACAACGGTAAATTGTCGTTAGACTTTTGTCGTCACTCTACGTCTCCTAGTAGGGCAAGATAGAGAACCAACATTTTCAAAAATATACTAGTTACACTCCTGGTTCTATCGTTCACTGAAAGTGTAGTGGTTAATGCTATTAATGTCCCCAGCTGCTATGCACATGGTACCGAGTTTGATTCCATTGACGCGACTACAATGATCTGGCTTACCCTTAAAGGCTGGCTGGCTTACTAATTCATGATTTCCCATTGTTTTTGTGATTTACAACCACAATACACGGATACTAATAGTAAATACATTCTGTTTACGAAATGAATTGTCTCTAATATAACTGCACTGAACTGTGATAAGAAACTAAACCTGTTTCAGACAATATTGAGTGCAACAAGAGATTATTTTTCTAGTTGGTTGTATGTCAATTGGGGTTATTTTCCTGCTAATTATCCAGTCACGATTGCCACCTGTTGTTTTTTAAAATAAAACCTATAAGAGGTTAATTATAAATATAAACTTACAAACTTTCTTGTCAAGAGTTATTGTTGCCTGTTGATTGGTGATATGTAGGGTCGGGTCGTGAGACTGCTCATGTTTTACATTTACATGTACTTTGATGACTGGTTTTATAATCATTAAGCATAGCCAGGGGGATGCGACTAAACCCCCATAACCAATAACAATAGATCTGAAAAAGAAAAGAAACTTTCAAATGCTTTTTATTCAAAGCTTCTAGCTCAAGTTTAAAGCCTTGTGTTTGAAGGAAGTTGCATCAATTTTTGTAATGAAAAAGTTTGTTAGGGTTGGGTTGCTTACCTGTGTGCCAAGTCCCCCTTTTAAGTTTTTCTTCACGTTTGTTTTATAATTGCATATAACACTTGAATAACATAAACAAAACACAATTATAAATAATGTATACCAGTAGATTTTATTCTTCATTTGTTCCATTTATTCATCCACATTACTCAGGAAAATACACAGTTTTAAATTCGCGATTTTACATTGAGACAAATAAAGGCAAAATCACTATGCTTGCAAATTTAGCATGTTTTACAGTATTTAGCAGACCCACAGACTTTTGGTCGGTTCTCTGTTAGATCCTTTTAGTAGTTGCTTCAGTGTCGACATTTGGTTCTCTAGCGTTTCCTACTAGGAGGGGCTTAAGTGTCAACAATTTATTTGTCGGTCCTCTAGCATGTCAACACAGCGAAGTCTCCCGTACCGACAATTGTCGGTACTCTAGCCTTTACATTAGCACAAATAACATCCCTTTTGTTATTTTGACTACAAATCTTGTGATATTTCCCCACAAAACGCGATTTATTAAGATAAAACTGTCATCCTCTGAAATGTTGTTATTTTTGCACACTTTTTGAGGTCACCTGACCATGACAGTTGGTCCCCAACTGCTAACTTAATAACATTAGCGGCAAAGTAGGGCATAACAATATAATACATGAATCTACAGTCTACATAATACAAAATTGATGAGAATAGCCTCAATCATGCAATAATTGGCTCAACATAAGAGCGAATAACTCATGTTTGAAAACCAGGGTTTTATTTTTAATTACAAAATCGTATTTCGCGGCAAATTGTTTAAACTACACACGTCGTGTCACATGACATAAGGTTTCTACTCTGAAAATGAAATCAGGTTTGCCATAAAAACAGACTAGTGCTGACTTTATATCCCCGATATAATGATAAAATGAACTTTTGGAAGTGTTGATGGTTCACCATCATAAAGTGTGGCCTTCATTTAACATAAATATATGTAATTGGCACAGGTCAACTCAATGGCATGGTGGTAGCTTTATGTGATTAGCAAAGGTCAAATCAATGGCTTGGTGGTAGCGTTATGTGATTAGCAAAGGTCAAATCAATGGCTTGGTGGTAGCTTTTTGTGATTTGCACAGGTCAAATCAATGGCATGGTGGTAGCTTTATATAATTGGCACAGGTCAAATCAATGGCATGGTGGTAGCTTTATGTAATTGGCACAGGTCAAATCAATGGCATGGTGGTAGCTTTATGTAATTGGCACAGGTCAAATCAATGGCATGGTGGTAGCTTTATGTAATTATCCCATTGAACGAAGTTCGGAGGGATATAGGGAACGCCTCCGTCCGTCCATCCGTCCGTCCGTCCGTCCGTACGTACGTACGTACGTACGTCCGTAAAAATTGTATAGGACATTAATAAAGCTAGAAATGTAGATATTAAAAAAGCACATGGCAGCCATCTTGAAAAATGGCGGCCTTTACTCGTTATTTTATGATTTTGCTGTAACTCGAAAAGTAGTGGAGCGATTTTGTTCATATTTGGTATGTGAATACTATAAGCATGGCACACTGTCTAATGACACTTTTGGTAGAAGGCGGCCATTTTGAAAAATGGCGGACATTTTGAAAAATGGCCGCCATTTTAACTTATTTTACTAAAACTCGAAAAGTAGTGGAGCGATTTTGTTCATATTTGGTATGTGAATACTATAAGCATGGCACACTGTCTAATGACACTTTTGGTAGAAGGCGGCCATTTTTCAAAATGGCGGACATTTTGAAAAATGGCGGCCATTTTAACTTATTTTACTAAAACTCGAAAAGTAGTGGAGCGATTTTGTTCATATTTGGTATGTGAATACGTATAAGCATGGCACACTGTCTAATGACACTTTTGGTAGAGGGCAGTCATTTTTCAAAATGGCCACCATTTTAACGTATTTTACTATAACTCGAAAAGTAGTGGAGCGATTTTGTTCATATTCGGTATGTGAATACTGTAAGCATGGCACACTGTCTAATGACACTTTTGGTAGAAGGAGGCCATTTTGAAAAATGGTGGACATTTTGAAAAATGGCTGCCATTTTAACTTATTTTACTATAATTCGAAAAGTAGTGGAGCGATTTTGTTCATATTTGGTACATGAATACGTATAAGCATGGCACACTGTCTAATGACACTTTTGGTAGAAGGCGGCCATTTTTCAAAATGGCCACCATTTTAACCTTTTTTACTATAACTCGAAAAGTAGTAGAGCGATTTTGTTCATATTTGGAATGTGAATACTATAAGCATGGCACACTGTCTAATGACACTTTTGGTAGAAGGTGCCCGTTTTGAAAAATGTTCGATGGGATTCGCTACGCTTTGGCGTTGCCGTTGTTCTGGTTGGCAAAGGTCAAATCAGTAACATGGTGGTAGCTTTATGTAATTGGCACAGGTCAAATCAATGGCATGGTGGTAGCTTTATGTAATTGGCACAGGTCAAACCAATTGCATGGTGGTAGCTTTATGTAATTGGCAAAGGTCAAATCAGTGGCTTGGTGGTAGCTTTATGTAATTGGCAAAGGTCAGAGCCATTCAAGTCAGGGTTGGTAATGTTTTTATGATATTGATTGAATCATTCTACTGCATTGCAATATCTTCAACAGTTTTCCTTCTTTTTTTATAGCAGTCGTGTGTTAAGATGTTTAATGCTTTGGCCACTATGTCCCAAGCTGAGGTTATATCACCAGCTGACTGCACAGGAAACACAAGTTGCTTTGAGACCTTTCTATTTTGCAGTACATCCAGATTTATTTGGACAGTTTCCAGTAGAACGTGTGAGTAACATAATTATTAAATTGACAATATTCTAAGGTAACATGACTATACATTTAGATTATTATATAATACATATGTATGGTACAGTACATTTACATATAAGTACATGTATAAGTAATACAAAAATAATCTAAATACCAAGGCTGATATTTTTTACTTTCAGCCTCATGTCCAGGCCATTCTCCTCCCACAGAGTCATGGGGCCTAAAACTAAGATACTGAAAGCTACTTTATGTCCTCAAATTTTTATTAAAGAGAATTGGCAGATATTAAAGCAGCTACGGCAACAGTTATTGGGACCATTTTCTCCCTAAATTGAGTCACTCTGGATCAATCATGTTTAATTATCAGATCTTTCATGTTTTTGCTGCAGGGAGTCAAATTTTGTTCATTTCTGCAGTTGCCATTTCTAGTTAGATTTGTTTCACATATATGGAGCTTTTACTTTAGATATAACTAATATTAAATTGATTTTGCTTTACAGAAAGTTAATGAGGAGTCACTGAAGAAGTTAAGTGAACACATTCAGACCATCCAAACAGGGGGACACACCAGACAAAACACAATCGCATTCTATTTCAGGAATATAAAGCAGAAAAACTCAGGTATATACGAGTATTTTTGGTTTGATACTCTTTCTAGGGGATTTGTCATTGCACCTTGAGTGCTATATTGTGATCAGTTTGCTGGGTGGGCTAGTGTCACTGAATTTTGTTTACATGTTTCCAGGCAAAATGGTTGACATATATTGGCATCCCAAAAAATGAGACACTTTTTGACAAGTATTTTCTCGGAAACTTATGAACCACATTCACTGAAAATCTGTAGAAAGTAGCCAAAGATTATTGTTAGCAAGGTACAAAGATGATTTGATACAAAGATCAAATAAATGTTATGTGAGTACTAAGAAATTCAAGATAGCATGTCAAAAATCCCTCATACCGAAGCAACACAATGAGAACATCAAAGCATTTTTACCAAAAAATGGGAAGCAATTTGAAGTAATTTCTCAGCAATAGATGAGCCAAATTCTTTGAAAACTTCTGTTAGTTCTATGAATGTGCAAGAGATTGGTCTCTGTATTTTTGAATAGAATATTAACTTGATTGTTTTTACATTTTTACAACTTGCTAATGATACTCTTAGGCTACTTTGTATCCCGAAAACTGTCTATTCTGGTGCGATACTGGTCCCCATGTCTTGTTTACTTCTACTCTGTGTCAACTCTTTTGTAATCTTTTGTAACAGATTCAGCTTGAAATACTGTATTTCAAATACGCTATTTCACTTTTTTTGCAATTTTGAAATTTTGCAGCTATTATATTTCGTTTATTTTAAAGGCAGAATCAGATCTATAGGGGTGACAAAATTACAAGCAACATGTACAATTGACCGAACAATCTATTCCTTACAATCTCCAATATAATATCTCCCAAAAGATCCACAACATTTTTTAAATTGGTAAAGTTATTTTGGATTCAAAGTGCAAAAATGGGTGAAAATGTTTGAATTCTCCCACATAATAAGAATTGTAACCATTCTTATAAAAAATAATACATTATTGTAAAAATATTTAGTTTTCCTGAAATAAAGTATGCACTTTGGGGATTTTTAGAAAATGACATGAGTCAGAAATGTTCTGAAAATGAAACAATTTTTGGTTGACTGGCTTGCTAGATCTGATTCTCTCTTTAAGTTTCTTTGAAATTTCACAGCTATTAATTTTTGCAGATTTAGTTCTACAAATGAATGCATTATTATCCCCCATCCCTATCCCCACATCCCTGTCATATTGTTGCCATATTGGTTTAATACGGGAAGCTTAATAACACTCAATGGAAAAAAATTGAAATTTTAAAGGATGTTTCTTGGTATGAAAATATACTTCTTCGATAAATGTTGGCCATTTTGGATATTCAGTCTTGATTCACACTTTCTTGATATAGTAGTTCTCAAATGGTCTGTTGTTTCTGAAGAATCAAAATGGTATTATAATTGCATGATCTATTTTTACTTAAAGGGATCTTTCAGAGAGTAGAGATAAAGCTAAAGGCTGATCTGAGGGAGACAATTGTGGAGCTTTTACGTATGTGTGGTCTTTCATTGGAGTTCATTGACTCAATTCAAAGAAATGGCAATAAATCGAGAATTCCGAGGCAGATGTTTGGCACTTCACAATGGATTAGGGAATGGGAAAAACAGTTTCACCAAGAAGATGCCAAAGAGAATACAAAATCACACTTAGGGTGAGTGAGGGATTTTACAGGTACACATGTAGGGGTTATTCTAACGGATAATAGGGAGGTCTAAACTACACATTTTTAAAAACTTTTGCATGAATGGAATTTTGGTTCTCCAGGAATTAATTCTCCCTTTGTAGTATTTGCTTGGCCAAATAAATGTAAAGGCATGAGGAAAAAAGTTGTACTTATGTCACATGGTCAAGAATCTTGGACATGGGTACATTTATGTGAGACTATCATTTTCCATAAAATATAAAGTATAAAACTTTGCAGATCATGGTTGCAGAGAAATGTACCACGTGCCAAAGAAAATGCCATAAATAACCAACCAATCAGAAAGGAGACTGAGAAGTTGAAAAGGATGCTGATTGAGGAATTAGGTTTAATTGATATTGTGTGGGACTCTGATTGGAGATACTGTCACTTTATCGCCTGTTTGAAGAGCTTTTATCGCTTATTAGCTGAACAACCAGTTACTATGAAAGCTTTGCGAGGTATGAGACATTTCTGCTATTGAAACATGTTATTCTGAAAAATATATTTTAAACAAATAGTTATCCCACCTAACGAAGTTTGATAATGGAGAAGCCTTCTGTCCATCTGTTTGTTCCTTCATCTGTCTGGATGATAACTCAAATACTGATTGATAGATTTGATTCAATTTCCATAAGCTAATGCCTTATGGGTGTAGGATCTCTGCTTGAGAAGGTATTTTCAATATGGCTTTGTTCATATTTGATATGTGAATATTCATAAGCATGGCACACTGTCTCGTGACATTTTGGCAAGTAGGCGGCCATTTTGAAAAATGGCCACAATTGACATGTACTGTGTGCAATTTAGCTGAAATATTGCATATACACTTTCTGATATTACATATTACACTTTCTGATGACAATTTGGCTATAATAGTGGCCATTTTTCGTGTGTTATTTTACGATATTTGCTATATACTTAGTTTGTGAAAATGCCAGCCATGGCTGTTCGATGGGATTTCCTATGCTTTGGCGTTGCCAATGTCTTGTTTAAACTGTGCCTAGTGAGAATTACAAATGCACACCTTTATTCTAAGCATTATCTTATACACTATTCCAAACACTATACTAGACTAGCTCTTTCTGTTTACATGTATTCTTTATATAATTGTTGAAATAGACATAAATGTCAGATTAGAATGGATCTACAATATCAGTCATAAATTGGACAAAATGAGTGGACGGGGAGGAGCAATTTTCTACAATAAAATTCAACAAATCTGCAAGATTTATTTTTTCATGAGGAAGTTTACAAATAAATTGCTATATAAATAGATGGTAGTATTTGTTAAGTTTTCTTTGATTTTTGGTTATACCTTGGATAATGACTATTTTCTGAGCATGAAGACAGGTATATCTTTTAGATAAATTCATGATCTCAAAGAAAAGTGTATACAATAATAATAAAGTCAATCAGACTGTGAGATATTTAGCTAGTAATCAACTCATCAAAATACCTTTTCAAAGATGTCAACCTCATTTTCACCAAAAATGCAATCAATTTTTACAATGTTTAATTCATTAACTATTCTTTATTTAGATGTATCAATTAGTTCTTGAAAGGAAAACTAAGTTGCTTTAACATTAGTGTTCCCCATGTTATGTCCTCATTGAAAAAAAATCATGCTATTTATTGGTTTCAGCTCATTTTGGTCATCCAAATTCAGTATCTTTGAGTCCCTGGAGCAATTCACTTTTCCTTTTAGGAAATAGAACATGTCTCAAAGCACATTCTAATTATGCATGCAACATTATAATAAAAAGGTTGCATTTTTGGTGAAAATTAGGTCAATATTTTTGAAAAAGTAGGTTTATTGGTTCTATGCCCCTTTAATATCACTTAGTCTGATTGACTTAATTACCATTATATATACTTTTCTTGGAAATAATGAATTGGTCTCAAAGATACACCTATGTTGATCAGAAAATATTCTTTATTCAAGTTGGAATCTTCTGAAATTGTTTGAGATAACCGATGTGCCCCTTTAAAGGGTGACGCATATCGTTTAGCAAATCGAACGCTCGTTTCTGGTGTTGCTCACCGTTTAGTATAAAAGGCCCGATCCCGGAATAATACTCAAGGGTTCACAGGCTCGAGGTCGTTGTGTCAACACCTCTAACTGTTATATAGCATAAGTATATTATAGATCGTCACACATTTATAAAAGGGTGATTTTTATTTTGACAAATCAATTCCACATTAATTGATGAAGTTTCAGGATCTTCTATTTGTGTATAATAAGGAAAAATTGGCATCTAAATTTCCCCATAACGTAATAGCACACAGCTTGGCATATGAAATATCCTACAAATGAAACAAAGTAAAACAAACCGGTTTCTAATACAAGGATTTATATTGGCTGTTGTACATGTATTCTTTGAACGCAATCACTCTTTGGATAACGTTTTCAAAATCATTATAAACGGATTACTTTATCTCAAAGACAATTTCAATAAACTGGATTTTACAGAACTCCCCTTATTTCTTAAAAATGGACTGATCCAGTTGATTCGCCTGGAGCCGCCATATTGTTTTTATACGGGATGCTAATCGGAACTCTTTAAATGAGTAACAAAACATTATGAAAAAATTATCAAATTACATGTATTACAGTGACTGGAGGGGGGAGTTCGCTATATAGAATTAGTCTCCCCTCCAGTCACTGTATTATTTTGATTATATTTTTTATAAAAACAGCAACTAACAACATTCATTTTGTGATGATCAATTCAAAAGAAATTTCACTATGCACCTATTCATTTAGCGAGTTATGAGTAAACTTTCTCATGAAAAAATAAATCTTTTAGGTTTGTTTCATTTTCTTATAGATATTGCCCCCTCCCAGCCCCTCCCCCCCTCAATTCCTTTTTATTGCCTTGACTATATTCATAAGCAACACCTATAATGTCGCTTAGTTATGCCAGTTTCTATGATCAGACTCCAACTGGTGCCATTCCCAGTTGGAAGTTGCTCATTGCTTCAGCTGTGTACTTTTTCTCAAATTGTTTTTTGTTTATTTTAAGGAAGGTGTCTCATATTTACACAGGTGACTGGGGTGAGCATACATGGGAATGTTCTCCTGGGAAAGGAAGAGGTTCCACACAATTGGTTCAAGGTTAGTAATTAAACCATGAAAAATTATGTTGTTTGTATGCAGAAAGAATATAATGAACATAAAGGCATGTGCCAGAACAAACAATTTGAAATGTATTTCTCTCTAAATTAGTTTTTAAGCTCCTCCCTTATATTTCTTTTGGTTTTCGTTACAGTTTAAGATACATATGCCTCCCAAAATTCTATCATCAGGAACTGCAATTTTGAACAAACAATAGATAATCGTTTTAAGGTATTCAATATTAACCTTGCTTCTCTCTCAAGCCCTTTAATACTAACCTCTCCCTACCCTCTAATGCATCCCTTCAATGATTAAAACCTTACTTTCAGATGATAACCAACATAAAACAGTTCAGAGATATTATTGAAGTTATTCCTACGTATGAGGAAATGTTGAGCAGCTATTTGAATAACGTAGAGATCAAGCAACATAGCAGTGACCCCCATGCTTTGCTCTACCTTAAGCAGCTCCAGACCCTGGTTGGTTCATTAAAGAAGCATCACTATGATGGAGATGACCCTAAGCTACTGGGAGACTGGAGCTACTTGCAACTTGTAGTTGAAAGGTAATTAAGACTTAATTGTAAAGCAACTTACTTATACTGGATGTGGATGTCTCTTTAAGCTGTGATGTTGACAATATTCTGAAAAGTATAATTCTGAAGATTCTGAGTAAATGTGAATATTCTACTTTTGTAAGATTGACAGAAATATATGTTTTACATTCATGCTAGTTCATTCTAAGAACCAATATGTGATGTGTTATTTGCAGTGGTGCTGGACCATTGTCTCTCTCCCCAAGTGGTCAGTTTTCTGTGCCCACATCATGCCCAGCCTCTCTAGTCATTGCCTTCCTCATGCAGAACAGGAATACTGCCCAAGAGCGCATCCACAAACAAAAACTGTAAGTACAGTTCACAGGAAACTAATATTTTATTCATTTGTAAAATATATTTGTGTTTTGTTACATTATGTTACCAAAAAAACATAAAAGTATGGCAGTCAGAAATGAAAATACACTTAAAATCCATTTGTCAAAATAAAGGTGGAATAAAAAGTCTGAATAAGCACCGTGGTCAGAGGTAACGCAGCGCAGTCAAGCATATCTGTTCAAAACGAGGCTGCAACGTAAGCTTCATACACTAGTTTGTGTCTGCTACAGTTATAATAGCATATACCATTCGGTGGAGAACTTCACAGAGTATGTCTATACAGAGTATGTCTATGTGAAGCTTCTTGAAATTTAGTCAATCAGGGAAATACATTTCAAGTCAATCAAAGTCAATCACTTACTGAAATTTGACAATTGTGGCATTTTTTTAGCTTAAATTCTATGTTTTTGACTTTGTCACTTGACACATATCTATTAAATCATGTATATACCACGGTAATTTCTATTTCTTCAAAGTTTCATCACTGTTTGCCTTCTGTTAACCGATTCTGGGTGGAAAACCAGGTTTATTTTGGAAACGCAGTTCAGACACTTCGGCAACGCGGGTTCAGACATCATACATATTTGACAAAACTGGAAACGCAGTGACAGCAATGCAGCTAATGTTCTATCGTGTACGATAATTACATTATCAAAGCATTCTCTATCTGCTTGATCTTTTTCTGAAAAAAAGTCACATGCCTTATTAACTTAAAATCCTCGACAGAAAAGCATAATGCAAAACTTCTTTGTACTTTACAATACAGAGAAAGTTGATGCCTGCACCGCGTTGCCATACAATTTCATCTATGCTGTCGACGCGTTGCCATAATTGCTGAAAATGACTGTGCCGCGTTTCTGGCTAGTTCAATTTTGTAAGCAGATTGCGATGAAAATAAACAAAAGTTTCAATCTTAATTTGTATTGTACATTCTATAAGTATCAGGCTATTGAATGTCAATGTTTTTGCTCATGAGTGGCGAAATACCTCCTTAATTGGAATAAGAAGATAGGTCAAGAGAAATAGGATCGGGAAATCATATCTGCGTTGACTATTTCTTTACTCTGGTCAATGCCTGAACAGAAATTCTTATAGCTTTACATACCTTAAGGGGTTGATCACTGAGTGTGAAGCATGAGTTTTCAAAAACTTACCTATGTTTCGAGGAAACAGAGGACGAAGTGCCTCCGATAATTGGAGTGGAGTTGCCTCCATTTTGTGTCTTTCCCGCGTTGCAGCCTCGTTTTGAACAGATATGCTTGACTGCACCGCGTTACCTGTACCAACCTTGATAAGGAAACAAAATATCTCACCAAAATTTACTACTATGTGGTCTGACATCCTGATACATGAAGTGGCAAATTGAAACCTTATGGTGATACTGGTGATGTTTCATGTAAATATTATTACATTTCAGGCTCAACATTGAAGAAAAGTCCATTATTGAACAGTGTGTGTATGAACTTGAGCTTCATTCATTAAAGAAAGAGAATAACATATCCTCTGCTGATATGATATATTGCTGCAGAAGGTTGCATAAACTGTACATGTCTGAGATGGCATCAAATGTGCAGTTACTACAAGGTGCTAATATAAATGTCTCAACTTACTATGCTGTACAGCAGGATGGAACGCTTACAGTCCCATGGAATTGGACAGACCTATAGGTCGTATAAAGATGACCAGTTGTAGTTTGATAAAACCAGTTTCATGATCTTGGAACCATCACACCAAAAGCACTACAGTAGTTCGCATCCGATCAAGTTCATTAAGTTCTTTTTTAGAAAATTTTACAGATTTTGTTGAGTGGTGACAATTTTTCATATTCTAGTCTAATAACATGTACCTACCTCTAATAGATTATTGGGGATTTTGAATTGATATCATCATTTGAAATTACAATCGACCAAATAACCCCCCCCCCTCAACAAAGGTAAAATCGAGGTCAATGTGACTTAAGGGGTGTAAATAATTGACATTTTGTGAAAAATGATAATTTCCTTAATAATTGTTGGTGCTAAAAAATTTTCCAAGAACAATAATCTATTATCTTTCAAATGAAATAAAATTAAGGTAATAGTTTTTCTAGAAAGAATCTAGAATCATGCCTAACCATCGACAAGCTACAGTGACAAAATATACTGTTGTACACTTTAGATGTACGGTGTCACTATTTAACTGATTTAAAGCAAAGACAATGATGTATGTTTGATATAGGTTTTAAAAAAATAATCTGAGGAATACATTAAGGATTTCATGTTTGATATTTTGTGTATTCGTTTAGGAAGACATATAACTTTCTAATAACATTAAAAGATTTTTAAACCGTGCTCAATATTTTTTTAGTAGTCAATCTACCCGTATAATTGGTCGGTTAGAAAATGTTTTTTACACATTTCCTTTGATCATTTCCTCCCCTGTCGCCTAAGAGTGTCGAATATTTTTATGAGAATATGTTTCTTTAAACAACACAATTAAGGTCTGTTGAAGATTTAATAAGTATTAACGTTTTGGCTATAATTTAAAAAATCATAACGTCCCTTCACTATTATAAGGTTCTAACTACCAATATGGGTCAAATGCATGTGAAAGTGGATTCCCCCTAAATTCACCATGCTCTTTTCAAAAATTAAGGTTATAAAGCTGTATCTCAATTAGAAATAGGAGATTTCTAATGCAATAGGGTTCTATGTCCTTCATTTGAAAAAGATAATTACTGCTACATGGTTCTATCTCTTGAGATAAAACTTTTTAACATTTAATGTCATGATTCAAATTGGAGATAAAACCTTTTTACATTTAACGTCGACATAGTACATACAGTGTGACACAGACAAAATGACACCCACTCACATAATGTTGCATAACTTTTTTATCTGGATGAAATCTGACTTGTCCTTTTGCATAGTAAAACCTTACTCCATGGAGCAGCCCCACAGGAAGTTTCAGATTGCTAGCTGAATTAGATAAGCCTTTTTTGTAAAAATGTTATAATGCTGTATTATGTTTGCTCTGGATATATAAAAGGGTAACCCTTCGCAATAGTGTGGCTTGCTTTAAGAATAGCTTTGTCTCATTGAAAAGCTCTGTATTCCAGGGTAGAAAAGGTTCTATCTCCATCAATTAAACTCATTGTTGCGTTACAGACGCAAAAGGTTCTATCTCCCAAAAGCATTTTTTTAAAAAGGTAGCAGTAAACATTGACATTTCTTGCCATCTTGATCAGGAATGATTCATCTTGGCTATATGATGCATGAGCATTCTTGTCAAAATTCTACTTTACTGTATCACAAAGATAGAGGAAGCTAAATGTTTGTTCTCTGTTTTCTCCAATATGGTACATATAACCTTTTAATAGTAGAGGGACGATAAGTGTGCGTTGTCAACTCGAATGTACGTTGTCCCATTGAACTTACCAAATTCACACAGTTAACCCTAATGCAGGCGACGTATTTTTTTCATAACACTGACAGGGAGGTCAGATGCATTTAAAATTGAAACAGAACAATTACAGAATTACTTCAATTTGATTGAACTATTGAAATTGAGCACTTTCCAGATAAATCATAAACGGGATTTTAAAAAGTCATAGTCAATGAGCTAGTAAGTATAGATCTATCTATAAATGTAACTAACAAAACGTAAGGTACAGATCCGGGGTACAGATGCCAAATAATCAAAGAGGCTGGAAGCAAACTCCGTAGTAGTGCTAGTCTTCAACATATTCTAGTTTGGGCTGGAAGCTAACACAAAATGGGCACAAATTAACCACCACCACAACAATACTTTCATAAAATGAAAAAGCAAAAAGGATCACTTGTTACTCATAAAAACCCTAATGAATTTTGAAATGAAGTCATTACATTGTTTAATTACCTATATCTCATGAATTTCAATTACAGGGACGTTGACAACGCACATTTCTGATTTTTTAAATTACAATAAATACTTGAATATTTATTATCTCCACCCGTCCTAAATTGTGTAGAAACATATTCTCATAAAGATAATCGACACTCTCTCTGAGAAAATGGAGGCTGAATAAGATGATATCCCATTCATTAAAATCCTCAATCAATCTATGACAAAATCATAAGACAGAAATTTCACCCTCTCATTCCAAGGTATGCTGTTCTACAATGTGGTTTATAATGTTTGGGAATTTAGGAGTTCATACAGAAAGACAGTAATTACAATTAGGATAATGAAAAGGCTAGCACACACCTGAAAACTCATCTTCACCCAATTGAAAATGAGAGAAATCATAAAAAATTTTAAATTTTTGATCAATTTTTGGGCAGATGTGAGAAATCCCAGGGAGTACACTCGAGCTTCATTGATCATGAATATTTATATACATATCAAATGTTTGTTGTGTCACCACCAAAAACTGGTGACATATTGTTATGGTCTCCGTTTTTACGGCGGTTGGTGGTTGGCGGCGGATGGTGGTTGGCGATCAGCGTCTGTAACAAATTCTTTTTTGTTAGAAGGTAATGTCTTTTTTCAACTTGCTTCTTTTTTCAAAATCATCTACAAATTCTCAATACAATGTAGTTCAAATCTGACTACAGATTTGACCTTCAATGACATTCTCATGGTCAAAAAAGATTTGACCTTCAATTACATTCCCAAGGTCAAAAAGCTCTTTTTTCATCTTGCTTCAAATTGACCAATTTTTAAATCATCTTAAAGTTATCAGAAGTTCAAATCCGACTTTAGATATGATATTTTACCTTCAATGACCTTCTCAAGGTCAAAAAAGGTCTTTTCAACTTGCTTCAAATTGACCAATTTTTTTCAAAATCATCTACAAGTTCTCAACAGTTCAAATCTGACTATAGATTTTACCTTCAATGACATACTCAAGGTCAAAAAAGATTTGACCTTAAATAACATTCTCAAGGTCAAAAAGTTCAAATCTGACTTTAGCTTTGAGATTTCACCCTCAATGACCTTCTCGGGGTCAAAAAGGGTCTTCTTTCAACTTGTAGATGATTTTGAAAAAAATAAATTTGTCAATTTGAAGCAAATTGAAAAAAGATCTTTTTGACCCTAAGAATGTCATAAATGTGTGTTATTTAACGTTTTTACCACATCTCAAAAATTGATAGAGCGATTTTGTTCATATTTGATATTTGAAAGCTCATATGCATGGCACCCTGTCTTATTACACTATCAGACTATTGCTAATAGGGGGGCATTTTTCAAAACGGCCGCCATTTACATGTGAGTGTGTGCTATTTTATATATGCCTACTTATAAGCATGATACACTTTCTTGACATTTCATGATTTGCTACGCTTTGGCGTTGCTATCTATAATCTAGTTTCTCACTTACCACTCACTTATTTATCTACCAATTTTCACCAAAAAACACGCAAGGGGGAATGCTATGCATTGTTGTAAATTATTGTTTTATTTAAGGAATAAAGACAGAGATTTTATGATTTTGTATATGACCAAAAATTTTATTCTGTTCATTGTTAAAAGACCGAAATCGCGTAGCTATTGAGGTCTTTGGCAATGGCCAGAATAAAAAATTTGGTCATATATTTGAAATAAATCATAAAATCGAGGTCTTTGTTACGATTCTAATATAGAATAGGATTTTATTAGTACTGATGCCCTTTTAGGGCCAAACGTACATCCAATATACAATTTTCAATAACAGTAAATATAGCAATAAAGTAAAGAAAATATGATTACATTCTTCAAATGACACATAAAATGTTACTTTGATCAATAAGAATCCTGTCTCTACCAATCATTAGATAATTTATCATGTTAGCAGATTCTTTTAATATGATCGGTAGCATATGATCCCCTCACTCGTCAATAGAAAAATTGTCTTTTTGTGGTCATTCATGTTTTTAAAATTTCTACAAAGGTTTTCAAGTTTTTCAATATGGGATTTTCTGATATACTCCAATTGTTTACATTTGAATAGAAAGTGTGTTTCATCTTCTATAACCGAGTCCTTAGATTTACAAAATCGACTATTAAGATCAGTAATGAGTTTTGTATATCGGCCTCTCTCTATCTCTAGATTGTGGGCGCTTACGTAATCTAGTTAATTAGTAATGTTTAGCGTTTGAAAGTGTCGTTTCTGAAAGGTAGTGTTCAAATCCAAAGTGCGATTTTAGTTGTTAAAATAATCTAAGTTTCCCCCCATTCCCACTTATCAGATTCTTCCAATATACTTGATATCTCTCTATCAATTTCTTTTTGACTTTAATAACAAGCCTATTTGTGCTCTTCTCTATGTTTACCTTATCTTCAAGATTTAATTCATCAGACATTTTTATTTTAATATGGCAAAGTATATAATATGATAAACAGACGAGAAACACAACTTTTTGCATTTAAGAATTTTAGCTGTCGTACAAACACTGTACTCCAATATAGACAAGTAAATTAATTGTTCTAGCTATTGTGACGCCACGTATCATATTAGAATAAAAGATATATTTTACCTCTTTTAAAGAATAAGTTCATGATTTTCTTACTGACAAAGACCTTTTTGGGTTTTTATCGTATTATTAGGTAACCATTAATCCAGATAACCTTTAAATTAGATATCTATAAGAGTTGATATAAAACAACCTGAAAATTGATCTGTTTTGAACTCAAATACTGTACTGACCAAAATTATAGATGGCAAGAGGCTCAAGATGATAGACTAATACCACATTACTATACCAAAATGATGCAAAATATTGAAATTCATTCACTTATAGTAATCATGATATACATGTACCAAAACCATGCAAAATATTGGATATCCACAAGGTTTGAAAAATCCAAATCACTTACTGATTTGACCTTGACATAGATACAATTTCCCTGAAACGTCAGCTGAGGAAAATATGCACTCAACACATAAAAAACTATGCAAAGGCAAGGCATGAGTTACTTTCTACCATTTTAAAGAGAAATCGTACTGCCTAAACGTCCATAGGGACTTATGATAGGATAAAATATCAACAATTTTCTACTGTTATGTTAGCTATTTTACAGCAGCAGATTATAGAGATTAATGATTTTTAATCTACTCTGATTCTTCACGCCTAACTAAGCAGATTATACCATCATGGAATTAAATCACTTCATCTTCACTTACGATCATTTGAAAAACACATTAATAAGAAATTAAATTGATTGTGGCAGACAGACCAATTATGCTTTTAGGAACGCGAATTTACTACGTAATACTCATTTTCTATTAGGGACCATTTCTTATGCTGGATAAAGACTAGAGGCAGTTATAGCATAATTTGCTCTCATTAATGTTATTTAGTGGTATGGTGGCACGATGGATCTGTGTTTCAATATTTATTATGTCATGAGTATGTACATTCAAATGTTCCTCTTCACATTCACGGTCACGGTGGCAGACCCTGGTGAAATTTCAAGCGTTACGTTTTGGTTGAAAGATTCAGCTGTGCTGAAAGGCCAAGCAATACTAGGAGAGAGTAAAACAGCTAGCAGAACGGCATGTGCAAAAGAATGCTCACGAGTTAAAGCATGTACGACACTCGCCTACAATAAAGCATCACGTCGATGCCTTCTCTATGATGCCACGCAATATAGTCAACTTGAATACAAAAATGACTGGCAGTTATACACCATGCTTCCTCTAATAGGTAAGCACATAAAAATGTACAATTTATTTCTTTTTGAACTATTTAGAGGGATTTTGGGGAGACAGCCTGCCTCATGGTTGGCTACGCCCATAACTGTCAAACGAATATATGTACATCTTTATTCCTTGGAATTTATTTCTTCGAATCAAGCATCTTAAGAGAAAATAACCGTTATGATTTATATTCCCGTATCATGCATGTTATATTCTCGGTTGTTTTTTCTCAGGACACGGTATACATAAGTGACCGATAGACCCCAAACGTATATCCTTTTATTTAAGGGTTAATATTTCATTTATTCAAAATTGTTATACTTAATCTGAGAAGGTGATTTTAATTAAATATCTTGTGATATTAAATGTATATACATTATTCACGGTGTATAACTCAAACGCTCCTACATGCACGACGGAGCGTTTCATTACTGAAATTAAACAAAGAAACGCTCCGGAGTAGGAAAACTGGCTGGCGGGAATGATGAGCCGTCTGACGATTTCCCCAATAATGGCCATGGGAGGTATGAGTTACATATTTCGAGTATACCATTCGATGGGTGTGATATTCATGTTGTACTTGGCTTGCTGTTTACGTTTGAAGCAATTAGGAAGAGCTGTACGAAGCAGTATAGTTATCAAAATCCAAAAACGTATTTGTCATTCTACCGGTCAAAACCCCTTTTGTCGATGCATGTGATTAGTTGAGCCAAGATTAGAGCACCAACGTATATTTTAGTAAAATTCCAATACTTCATCGCACCATACATTTTCGAAATAGTGATTTGATGACCGAAAATCCAGTCTTAAAAATGATGACATTCTCATATTCAAGAAACGCTCCGATTCAAATTAACGGTCGAAGTTAGTACCGCGTATTAATATATTTAAAAATTTACGTTCTAACTTCAGGAGCAACCTTGACACCCTGTCCGGATGGATGGTATGCATTCAAAACATCGTGCTACAAACGTTTTGATGACCGTTTCAAGAAAAACTTCCACAAAGCTGAGGAGCATTGTCAACAGTTGAAAGGTCATCTGGTCGTTATTGATGACGCAACAGAAGAGGAGTTCTTGAAATCTCACATCAAATCTTCAGGTTTTTCTTTTCTTAATTGTAATAGTTTTCTCAAGCGTTCTTCAACCTTGGCTCATTGCGTTCGGTGGCTTGATCCCTCTGTATAAGGTTCATTGTGCTCCTTTCAGTTACTCTCTGTGTGTATGAGGTTCATTGTTCTTTCAGTCACTCTATGTGTGTATGAAGTTCATTGTGCTTTCAGTCACTCTATGTGTGTATGAGGTTCATTGTGCTTTCAGTCACTCTATGTGTGTATGAGGTGCACTGTGCTCCTTTCAGTCGCTCTATGTGTGTATGAGGTTCATTGTGCTCCTTTCAGTCGCTCTATGTGTCCATTTCCTTTCGTCCACTTTATGTGTTTATGAGGTTCATTGTGGCTAGCTCCTATCAGTCTCTATGTGTGTATGAGGTTCATTGTCTACAGTTCTTTTCATTTACTCTATGTGTGTATGGCCAATTGCGTTTAGCTCTTTTCAGTCACTGTATGTGTGTGTAAGGCCCATTGTGTACAGTTCCTTTCAGTCACTCTGTGTTTGTATGAGGTTCATTGTGTACAGTTCCTTTCAGTCACTCTGTGTTTGTATGAGGTCCATTGTGTACAGTTCCTTTAAGTCACTCTGTGTTTGTATGAGGTCTATTGTGTACAGTTCCTTTCAGTCACTCTGTGTTTGTATGAGGTTTATTGTGTACACTTCCTTTCAGTCACTCTGTGTTTGTATGTGGTCCATTGTGTACAGTTTCTTTCAGTCACTCTGTGTTTGTATGAGGTTCATTTTGTAGAGTTCCTTTCAGTCACTCTGTGTTTGTATGAGGTTCATTGTGTACAGTTCTTTTCAGTCACTCTGTGTTTGTATGAGGTTCATTGTGTACAGTTCCTTTCAGTCACTCTGTGTTTGTATGAGGTTTATTGTTTACAGTTCCTTTCAGTCACTCTGTGTTTGTATGAGGTTTATTGTTTACAGTTCCTTTCAGTCACTCTGTGTTTGTATGAGGTTCATTGTGTGCAGTTTCTTTCAGTCACTCTGTGTTTGTATGAGGTTCATTGTATACAGTTCCTTTCAGTCACTCTGTGTTTGTATGAAGTTTATTGTTTACAGTTCCTTTCAGTCACTCTGTGTTTGTATGAGGTTCATTGTGTACAGTTTCTTTCAGTCACTCTGTGTTTGTATGAGGTTCATTGTGTACAGTTCCTTTCAGTCACTCTGTGTTTGTATGAGGTTCATTGTGTACAGTTCCTTTCAGTCACTCTGTGTTTGAATGAGGTTCATTGTGTACAGTTCCTTTCAGTCACTCTGTGTTTGTATAAGGATCATTGTGTACAGTTTCAGTCACTCTGTGTTTGTATGAGGTTCATTGTGTACAGTTTCAGTCACTCTGTGTTTGTATGAGGTTCATTGTGTGACAGTTTCTTTCAGTCACTCTGTGTTTGTATGAGCTTCATTGTGTACAGTTCCTTTCAGTCACTCTGTGTTTGTATGAGGTCCATTGTGTACAGTTCCTTTCAGCTCTGTGTTTGTATGAGGTTCATTGTTTACAGTTCCTTTCAGTCACTCTGTGTTTGTATGAGGTTCATTGTGTACAGTTCCTTTCAGTCACTCTGTGTTTGTATGAGGTTCATTGTGTACAGTTTCTTTCAGTCACTCTGTGTTTGTATGAGGTCCATTGTGTACAGTTCCTTTCAGTCACTCTGTGTTTGTATGAGGTTCATTGTGTACAGTTTCTTTCAGTCACTCTGTGTTTGTATGAGGTTTATTGTGTACATTTCCTTTCAGTCACTCTGTGTCTGTAATAGGTTCATTGTGTACAGTTCCTTTCAGTCACTCTGTGTTTGTATGAGGTTCATTGTGTACACTTCCTTTCAGTCACTCTGTGTTTGAATGAGGTTCATTGTGTACAGTTACTTTCAGTCACTCTGTGTTTGTATGAGGTTCATTGTGTACAGTTCCTTTCAGTCACTCTGTGTTTGTATGAGGTTCATTGTGTACAGTTCCTTTCAGTCACTCTGTGTTTGAATGAGGTTCATTGTGTACAGTTACTTTCAGTCACTCTGTGTTTGTATGAGGATCATTGTGTACAGTTTCAGTCACTCTGTGTTTGTATGAGGTTCATTGTGTACAGTTTCAGTCACTCTGTGTTTGTATGAGGTTCATTGTGTGACAGTTTCTTTCAGTCACTCTGTGTTTGTATGAGCTTCATTGTGTACAGTTCCTTTCAGTCACTCTGTGTTTGTATGAGGTCCATTGTGTACAGTTTCAGTCACTCTGTGTTTGTATGAGGTTTATTGTGTACAGTTTCAGTCCCTCTGTGTTTGTATGAAGTTCATTGTGTGACAGTTTCTTTCAGTCACTCTGTGTTTGTATGAGGTTCATTGTGTACAGTTCTTTTCAGTCACTCTGTGTTTGTATGAGGTCCATTGTGTACAGTTTCTTCCAGTCACTCTGTGTTTGTATGAGGTTCATTGTGTACATTTCCTTTCAGTCACTCTGTGTTTGTATGAGGTTCATTGTGTACAGTTCCTTTCAGTCACTCTGTGTTTGTATGAGGTCCATTGTGTACATTTCCTTTCAGTCACTCTGTGTTTGTATGAGGTTTATTGTGTACCGTTCCTTTCAGCCACTCTGTGTTTGTATGAGGTTCATTGTGTACAGTTTCAGCCACTCTGTGTTTGTATGAGGTTTATTGTGTACAGTTTCAGTCCCTCTGTGTTTGTATGAAGTTCATTGTGTACCGTTCCAGTCACTCTGTGTTTGTATGAGGTTCATTGTGTACAGTTTCAGTCACTCTGTGTTTGTATGGGGTTTATTGTGTACAGTTTCAGTACCTCTGTGTTTGTATGAAGTTCATTGTGTACAGTTCCTTTAAGTCACTTTGTGTTTGTATGATGTCCATTGTGTACAGTTCCTTTCAGTCACTCTAGATCTGTGTTTTTATGAGGTTCATTGTGTATGTCGCTTTTCAGTCACTCTATATATATGTGAATGAGGTTCATTGTGTTCAGCGTCTTTTGTTCACTCTATGTTTACATGCAATGTCTGGCCTACGCCGAAGTGTCTAGGGGCACAAACGCAATTAAGACTTTAAGCAAGGCATATAAATTCGAAACGTAAACCTGTACGCAAAAATTGCCCTATGCAAATGCATGTAGTTTTCTCACATAAATAATCGTTCAGTTACAGTGTTTACTAACCCCCCTGTCACACCAAACTAGTTCTTACCCGTTCTTGCCAGTCCTACGAAAACGTCGTAAAACGGGCTCAGTCTGGCTGTGGTCAGAAAATATGTCTAAAATAAATAGCTACTTCGTTCATAAACAATCTTCAATACCTCCATCTCATTCGCAGTTCGTTCAGGTCGCACCACGTCGGTGTGCAACGTCGTATGATGCGTCCCTTAGTCTAGAAGGTCATCATGACCTGATTACAGAACGGTATGGTCGTCATCGAATTTTGAATCGATTCAAAATTCTAAATCACATTCCCCGTCCGGGAAAGTCCATGAAGTTCGTGAACAGATCGTAGAACGTTGTAGCTACGTTCAGTTCAGTTCACAAACAGTTTAAAACCGATTCGGCAACGTTTTGAAGAACGCAGTGGTTCTGGTGTGATAGCTATTTTTGTTAATTTTATAAGCAGTTTTTAATACGTTCATATCGTCTTTATTCCGTCTGCAGTACGTTGGTATCAAGTTTAGATCGGGTTAAAATTGTGCGTTCGTCTCGTCTACACAACGTATCCAAGCAGTTCTTTTTTCTTTTCTTTTCTTTCTTTTATTCTTTATTTCTACCCACACTTGTGAGCATAAAATAGTACATATACATACAATGATAATACAGTTTAGTTTAATTCACTACCACCAATAATCTTCATCAATTTTCTTAATTGCACAGAATATTTAATATTTGACAACAAACTTTTAAATGTTAACATATTTGGTTGTCTAATGAAGTAGTTATCTAGAAGTATTTTTCTGTCATCTTCAAAAAGTTTACATTCTAAAGTATAATGGTACTCATCTCCTAGTCTGCTACATTTGGTACACACTCTCTCTAACCTTGGTCTTTTTATGTATCTCCCTGTTTCTATAGGAAGATTATGATTTGAAGTTTTAAGTTTTGTTATATACAATAATATATAATCTAGTGCTTATTGGTTGACATAAATAGGGTTCAAAAATAAATTTGTTCTTAATGCTACAATATGTAAAATATGAAGTTTTAGATTTATCTAAGTCTGATAGCCATTGCTGTAGGAATTGATTTTTTAGTTTCCTCTTCACCATATGCTTCAACGCATCCCTTGATATAAAACTCTTGTCTATTCCAAATATATGAAATCCACAGTCATTTAAAATATTTTCTACTGTACTTAACCATGGTGAGCTGTATATACCCCTTATATGTAATATAAGCTTTATAAATGGAACTACTTGTTGCTTTACTTTGTATCATTGTATCATTCAATTACGTTCTTAATCAGTTTAAACCAGTTGACAATTAGTTGTACCTCGTTCTCAATACGTCCTAATTTCCATACAGTTGAACACTCGTTCTAAAATAGTAAACATCGTGTCCCTAATCCGTGCAGAAAGCATTTATAATCCCATATTTTCCTGATTGGGGTACCCACGGCTGCAATTTACGCCTGACTACACAACGTCGTAATAACTCCCTAGTGGATTGAAGTACGACACTTCCGTTCGTGATGTGTCCCCAGTGCGTCCAGGTCGTCTTAAGTACGTTGTCACTCGTTCTGATTGCAGAACGAAATGTTGAGCATGCTCTAAGTTCTGGACGACCTACTCGTTCGAGTAGTTTCATGAAGTTTGTAAACAGATCCCAAACGGTTCTTAGTGGGTTCTTAGTACGTCAAATCCGTTCGTGCACAGTTTAAGCCCATTTTCGAGAACGTAACCCTTCTATCACACCAAACTATTTCTCACTACGTTCTCGAAAACGGGCTTCAACTGTGAACGAACGGACTGGACGTACTTAGAACCGTTTGGGGTCTATTTACAAACTTTATCGAACGTACTCGAACGGGTAGTCCTCTAGAACTTAAAACATGCTCAAAATGTTCTCTTGGTCGTCACGTTCTACAATTAGAACGAGTGACAACCTACTAACGACGAGCTGGACGTACTACGAACGGAACCGTCGGACTTCAATCCTACTAGGGACGTTTTTACAACGAGTTGAACTGTCTGAGGACGTATTGAGAACGAGGTAGAACTAATTGCAAACGGGTTAAAACTGATTAAGAACGTATTTATCAACGAGAATAGCAAAAATATAGCTATCAGACCAAGCGAGTTGCCACTGCGTTCTTCAAAACTGGTTTTAAACCGTGTGCAAACGGAATGAACGTTCTACGGTCTGTTTACGAACTTCATGGACTTTCCCGGACGGGGAATGTGATTTAGAATTTTGAATCGATTCAAAATTCGATGACGACCATACCGTTCTGTAATCAGGTCATGATGACCTTCTAGACTAAGGGACGCATCATACCACGTGGTGCGACCTGAACGAACTGCGAATGAGATGGACGTATTGAAGATTGTTTATGAACGAAGTAGCTAATTATTTTAGACATATTTCCCGACCACAGCCAGATTGAGCCCGTTTTACGACGTTTTCATAGGACTCGCAAAAACGGGTAAGAACTAATTTGGTGTGATAGGGGGTTTAGTCCGTTGCATAGACTATACATCATCGTGTAATACAGTGTGTCCCAAAAAAAGGAAACCAGCAATAGATTGCTTATTTCTCAAATATGAATAATGATAGGAAAATTTCACAGCTACCATCTGATAGGTTATGATGTCCCTTTTCTTATGATACCAAAGGTGTTTATTTTTCTTCCCGGATGACTGAGATTTGCATTGAAAGGGATGGGGGTCATGTTGAAGGACACTGGAGTTAAAACAACTTTGAATGGACATTGGGATTTAAAAGGGGTGTTAAATATGATATTTGTAATTTTAATTGGAATGAATGACTAAAAGAGTGATATCCTGATGTTTGTTACTTTTCACTTTGTTATGATGGTGAAATTGACTTGGCTGAAAGTGGTACAAACTCATTTCTGACATAGTCACTTAAATCTCTTATAACTCAGTCATCCATGAAGGAAAATAGACAAATTTGGTATCATAAGAAAGAGGACATCCTAATCTATCAGATGGTAGCTGTGAAATTTTCCTATCATTATTCATATTTGAGAAATAAGCAATCTATTGCTGGTTTCCCTTTTTTTGGGACACCCTGTATGCCATTGATGGTTATATAGCTAGTTTTCTATGATACATATTTTGAACAAGCTCGTTTAGTAAGATATTTGGAGCTGAAACATGTACAGTATGTCACACATCGTTTTCTTCAGAAAGCATTATAGTGTACTTCGAAATCAAAATTGCCAGCATAGTATTCAATAGAGATGAGTATTATGATTCCCGTTGACACCAACGCAATGTTGCAAATCTCCCGTCCACGTTCTAAAACACAGCGCTGAAGCTGATAGGGTACATGTTATATGATGTAGACTAAGTAGCGCTTGTTTTGTATGCGCGCTATATACATTACTGTGTTGATTCATTTGCTCTGCGTCCACGGTTACGTAAACTTTTTATTTTTCGCACCAAGAAACGTGTGGTATGTGGTGTGTCCTCTTGTTTTGGAGCCATATAGGGGACTTATCCAATCCAATTAACTAAAATACATAAGCATAACAAGTGGCCGATTGAATGTTTTGCTCAGTATTGTATTCAATTTTGAACAAAATACTCAATCGGTCGGGCGCCGTGAAAATCGGGGCAAATGTGACCAAGGCATTAAATACCGATGCACAGACACGCATCAAATGCAACCAGATCTTTTTTGATAGCTATGACTTTTTCAGGAGTGACAAGTGCGTATGACCAGATGTGGTTAGGTGCTAAAAGGGATACCACCATTGACAATGTTGTCCGTTGGATCCAATGTAATAATGTAATTACGACACCACAGTACTACCTTCCCGATCAACCTAGCAAGATGCAGTTTTACGACTGTTTAGTGATGGAGATAGACGTTAATCAAAGTAGCAGGTTTGGCCTATGGGAAACATACGAGTGCTATTACAAAAGGTCTTATTATTGTGAACTGCTTCGTGTGAACGTTTCCTGCTCCACCACGGGTCTCTAAAAACAGTTTACATTCGAGTTTCATTCTCTACTAATATATAATTCAGTGTGTCGTATAGCAGACTGTCACCTCATCACCTGTTAACGAGCAAAGGTACACATCATTGGAACAAGGCTATTCTGAATTCTTTAACTGCACTATATTTTACAATTTACCATTGATTTCCTCGTTTTTCATGCCCTTTCAAATATTTACAACGTTTCCATTTCCCAGGAATTGATCCGTCAGAATTCATTAAAATCTTGGAGAATATTCTTACAAAAGAGCATATATTCTTGGGGCAATAATGGTTGCCTGGAATACCTTTTTTGACTCGACATTTTAAAACATAGTATCATAATATTGTATGTGTTAATTAATGGATGGCCTTATCTTATGGCTGAAATGCCTTCCTTGGTCACCGCGTATTAAAGTGTTTAGGGCGACCCTAAAAAGGTGGGTCCCGAATTTAATCAGCACATACAATATTATGATAATATGTTTTTATTGCATGTCATTTGTAATTTAGGAGAAGTTCTAGATTATATGGAGCCCAATTTGTGTCATCGTGTACACCAAATTAGAGGCATAAACTGGGGCAGTTTTTCTTACTTTCTAAACAATTGCTTCAATAATTTTTCGAACAAAACGTCAGAAACCTTTTGACAATGGACAAATAATCACGTAACATATTTCAGTAAGAAAATATTTTTATTTCTAATATTTAAAAGACATTTATGTACAATACCACATATACGAGTACATCTTTACCCATTTCATACGTATATCATTCTGTTCAGAGGCGCAGACAAATTCAAAACTTTTTTCTCATTTCTCATACATATAATTCTGTAAAAGTCTGGTGAGGCTCTTGCCTCGCATGCCTCATTCGTGGCTACATCCATGCTGTAATTGAATTAAAAAATGCAATGAAGGCCAAGCAGTCAAACACCATGGGCATCTACATACATATGTAAGGTCCTCATTGCATGAAAATCACTCCAAGTTTACATAGTGAATACATTTAAGTAAGGTCATCACATCCCCGGTGTTTGGATGATGTCACTTTGAAATGATTATAGTGACCACCTTTTGTATTACATTTTGCAAAGTTGGAAATGAATGTCTCATCTTCGACTTCCGAGGTTATAACACATGAAGCTGGGGCAACTGAAACATTGCGAATTAAGATGAGAATGTCTCGTGTTTTGATAGATACTATGTTCTTTAATCGTCATTGTATTCCAATTTCCAACCGTTAATCAAAATTGATTGTATGCCAATAATGGTTTGACCTAATATTTTGACCAGTCTTGGTTGGATGATATCCATCCTGCTATGTCTTATTTAGTAAAATGTCAATCTCATGATATGATAAGCTTTATGTATATGTATATGAGCCAGGGCACAGGGAAAGGGGTCTTATCACAGATTTTTTCAATTATTTGATTTTGTGTGATAAGACATGTTTTCCTGTGTTGAGGCTCATAATGTATGTATAGCAAAATAATGTACTAGTAGTAAAATATGCTTATTACAGTTTTCACCCATTCACTGAAGTGAACCATCTTAGGCTAGGGGTTTATTCCTATCCCGCATAGGGATTTCTTATGTTAATGGCTGAGGCGTATCCATATATAATTCCTGGAAATGCAAACACCAACACCAAAATTGCGGCAATAGCCAGACATCCAATCACGATTGCAGAAATGGAGCAACAGAGAGACCAACACCTCTTGGTCTTATGCCTCTCGTAGTCTCCAACCTTGTGGTCAGTGTAGCTGAGGACGGCGCAGAGAAGACCTATACCTCCCATAAGGCTACAGCAGCAGAGCGAGATAGTGGATGTCACGATGGAGCACCAGCTCCAAGACTGCTTTGTTTGGGCCATGTATGTTGGTGGTTGCTGCTGGATATGCACCTCCGTGTGGTCAACAGGGCGTCCATACTTATCCATCCTGGAACAATGCAATATGATATAATTTCATAATAATCTGTCATTCGGTAGCCCTGGTACGTTTAGTAATATACTTGAAATAGTTGAAATGAGACATTGCATATTATATTCACGAAGTTGTATGGACTTTACCATTTGATAGAGCCTCTAAATTGCAGGTACTAAAGTAAAAAAACAAATAGTGGTATTAAAAACAGGACACAACTCCGAGTCGCAAAATACCTGAGACTAACATAAGAAGACGCTGCTATAAGAAATAGTAATGACTCAATAAAAGTGCTGAAGTCAATGAATCAAATGATGTTTACAGGATTTATTTTCTCAAATTACAATGTTGCACAGTATGTTATATTGTGACAATATTTAGGAACATCCGTGAGGGTGTCACGATGATACAGCTTAAAGAGTATTTCAGCTTCAGGCAAATACTCCCATTTATTCACATGGACCAATACTATTGTTTTCTTATCTTTCTTTCTTGTTTATACGAACGTCAATAAATCCCTTTTCAAACTTCATGTTGAATAAAGACACTATACCAATGGCATATACAATTGTTAGATCAATGACATCAACGTTTTGACATTGAGGCTATTACGTAGGATCCGTACCCATTATTGTACCTTTAAGAACGTTTATAGAACATTTTTGAAAGGGTAAAATGGAATTCCAGAATCATTTTTATGCAATATGAAACTTTATAAAGTATTGACACTATTGTGTATTCAAACATGAAATAAGAGAGTGTCCTACGTGTGGAAGATACACAACATGGCAAATCTTTTAATTTTATCAAGGAGGCCATATTAAAATTGCCATTATAGTTAAGAATCTACGCTGCCTTGAATGCATTACTGAACTAGGTGCAACACAGAACCTTCTACAAAAATACAAAAACTTATTTATCAATGACCTAATTTCATTTTGGATAGGCCTATGTTCATAATAGAAAAAAGTAAATATTTCCACGTTATTTTTCAATGAAACCTTTGGGGGCATCTTTAGGTACATCGGGTAACGGATCCTTTGTGCAATAAAACTGGAACAATGACAGAATCGATACACGGTGGAATAGTTTACATGAACAACCTAACAATTCTGTTCTTCTCTTTTAGTGATTCTGCTATTATGTGTTAATTCTTGGTTTAATATGCCAGTCCGTAATATGATACATTGCACATAACTTAGCAAAATCATAATGATATGCCACATATCGTACAATATTGGAACAAAATAACAAGACAACTGTCTTTCTTTCCCTGTTTGTCTACAGTACTAGTTTATCAATTGTTCATTGCCTGGGTTGAATATCACCCTCTGACCAAGGCTGCAATTACTCTGCTGTATATGGCGATCCAAACATTCGGGAACAAATAGACGAGGAGAATGATCGCCGCGACGCCACACATGAAGAACAGAATGGCGAAGACCGAGCAGCAAATCGACCAGCAACGTTTACGTTTGTGACTGGAGTAGTCTTGGACCTTGTAGTCAGTGTAGCTGAGCATGGCACATATAGTGGAGCAGAACCCTAAAGGGAGGCAACAGAACAGCGCCACAATGGCTGTTATAATAGGGCACCATCCCCAAGATTTCTTCTTGCGTTCCACTGCAAACCCCTGTTGAAACTGAGCGTCATGGTGCTCCAGGGGACGACCGTATTTATCTGGCAATCTGGAATATAATTGTATCTGTTAAATATACCGGAAAATCATATTAAATTGATTTCACAAAAACATCTAGATTTTCTAAGGTAATTAACGTTTAAGAAACCTATCGCAAATCAGATGAACATTTTTTGTTTATCTATCATAAAGAGGCTATAATAAAAGTTAAGTGTTAATTGTGAACTAAAGGTTGTACTCTTATTTATCCTTCAAATTAAATTATTGTAATGTCAATTTCCGTGATTTGACCACCGTGCACATAATCTTAACAATTCTAAGAATAAAAATGCATAATTGTCAGGTTAAATGTTAATAAGTGTTAGTTGCCTTTACCTATAACATCCCAAAATAGACAAAAAAGAAATAAGCACCATCCTTCGGGGCCATCAGTCATACCGCTATTTCTTCACTCGGACTCTGCTATCGTGGTTTACGATTCTCTGCCTTGCTTTCCCCTATTTCATTGTGCTTTACGATTCCCTGCATTGCTTTCCCCTATTTCATTGTGGTTTACGATTCTCTGCCTTGCTTTCCCCTATTTCATTGTGCTTTTCGATTCCCTGCATTGCTTTCCCCTATTTCACTGTGGTTTACGATTCCCTGTATTGCTTTACCCTATTTCATTGTGGTTTACGATTCCCTGCATTGCTTTCCCCTATTTCATTGTGATTTACGATTCTCTGCATTGCTTTTCCCTATTTCATTGTGGTTTACGATATCCTGTCTTGCTTTCCCCTATTTCATTGTGGTTTACGATTCCCTGCCTTGCTTTCCCCTATTTCATTGTGATTTACGATTCCCTGTCTTCTTTTCCCCTATTTCATTTTGCTTAACGATTCCCTGTCTTGCTTCCCCCATTTCATTGTGCTTTACGAATCCCTGCCTTGCTTTCCCCTATTTCATTGTGCTTTACGAATCCCTGCCTTGCTTTCCCCTATTTCATTGTGGTTTACGATTCCCTACCTTGGTTTCCCCTATTTCATTGTGCTTAACGATTCCCTGCCTTGCTTTCCCCTATTTCATTGTGGTTTACGATTCCCTGTCTTCCTTTCCCCTATTTCATTGTGCTTAACGATTCCCTGTCTTGCTTTCCCCCATTTCATTGTGATTTACGATTCCCTGTCTTCCTTCCCCCTATTTCATTGTGCTTAACGATTCCCTGTCTTGCTTTCCCCCATTTCATTGTGCTTTACGAATCCCTGCCTTGCTTTCCCCTATTTCATTGTGCTTTACGAATCCCTGCCTTGCTGTCCCCTATTTCATTGTGGTTTACGATTCACTGTCTTGCTTTCCCATTTTTCATTGTGCTTTACGATTCCCTGTCTTGCTTGCCCCTATTTCATTGTGGTTTACGATTCACTGTCTTGCTTTCCCCTTTTTCATTGTGCTTTACGATTCCCTGTCTTGCTGTCCCCGCTTTCATTGTGGTTTACGATTCCCTGTCTTGCTGTCCCCGCTTTCATTGTGGTTTACGATTCCCTGCCTTGCTTTCCCCTATTTCATTGTGATTTACGATTCCCTGTCTTCCTTTCCCCTATTTCATTGTGCTTAACGATTCCCTGTCTTGCTTTCCCCCATTTCATTGTGCTTTACGAATCCCTGCCTTGCTTTCCCCTATTTCATTGTGCTTTACGAATCCCTGCCTTGCTGTCCCCTATTTCATTGTGGTTTACGATTCACTGTCTTGCTTTCCCATTTTTCATTGTGCTTTACGAATCCCTGCCTCGCTTTCCCCTATTTCATTGTGCTTTACGAATCCCTGCCTTGCTGTCCCCTATTTCATTGTGGTTTACGATTCACTGTCTTGCTTTCCCCCTTTTCATTGTGCTTTACGATTCCCTGCCTTGCTTTCCCCTATTTCATTGTGCTTTACGAATCCCTGCCTTGCTGTCCCCTATTTCATTGTGGTTTACGATTCACTGTCTTGCTTTCCCCTTTTTCATTGTGCTTTACGATTCCCTGTCTTGCTGTCCCCGCTTTCATTGTGCTTTACGATTACCTGCATTGCTTTCACCTATTTCATTGTGCTTTACGATTCCCTGCATTGCTCTCCCCTATTTCATTGTGGTTTACGATTCCCCGCCTTGCTTTCCCCTATTTCATTGTGCTTAACGATTCCCTGCCTTGCTTTCCCCTATTTAATTGTGGTGTACGATTCCCCGCCTTGCTTTTCCCTATTTCATTGTGGTTTACGATTCCCTACCTTGCTTTCCCCTATTTCATTGTGGTTTTCGATTCCCTGTTTTGCTTTCCCCTATTCACCTCATTCACAAGGTGGCCTTATCCTGCCCCGCCACCATTTGATAAAAATAACTTTCTTAAATTGTGTTAGTAATTTACAAAACTCTTTTAAATAATATATCTTAGTCTAGGCTAGTACTACTTGTAAGCAGACCTCAGCATGTCTTGTTCATTTTATGATCTGCGTTGTTTTGTCTTGATCATGTAGACGTTTCACAGATAAAACTTTATGTAAAATATATTTGCGCGGAGAAAATAAAAATAAAGCGTGTATTTCCTATGATGAAATAAAAAAGATGTCATTACTTACTCATGAAGCTAAAGACGATAATAAGAGTTATGAGGGGTGACAAATTACAATCAACGTGTACGATCTTCGAAACTACCAATATACATAAAGCACAATCGCAACATATTTGAAGATTTTGATCCTCTATTAAAGATAGGTTCTAATAAACAGAGCGCGTGTGAAAACCAATGTATGGACAGCCCTTGTTAAAAAGCACGAACTCAAAAACAAAAACTGCTGGCAAAGAATAATAAATATTACAGTTGGAAAATCGATGGCAACCCATCGATTGAATATGATGTGATGAACGTCTACCTGAGTTTACGATTAAAATCTAACTGTGTGTATAAGAGAATATTGCTAAAGTAATCAATTATTCAAAATGATAACCTCTCATTCCAGGCGTCTGCCCAGCAGTTATAATATTAGCTTTTGTGTATAAATGTGAATGATGCAGGGATTATTTGACATGTACATGTAATAAGATATTCAACAGTTGTAGAAATATATTGTTTTCAATGACCGTTGTACTACTTGCATTCGATCTACATGTATATCTTAGGTAAATATTAAGACTGGCCTAGCAGTATTAATCAGCGATTTAGCCGTGATTGTGTTTAAAATGTATGCGCATGAACATGAATGTACATAAAATCAAATTAGTTTCGAACGACTATTCCATTCATCATATTATTTATTCCCCTGGGCACATGTTCTAATAATTCATTTAAGACTAAAGTAACCCGATGTTAAAATCATATATTTTTGCAGAGCAAATTTGTTTATCTTTACTCATCTCAGTCTGACCTTGAAACTTTTGTATGCTTTTATGTTCTCGTAATTTTATTTATATTTTGACTCGATTATGACAAGAAACGCAAGTAAAATGCAAATCTGTAAAATCGATTTGCAAAACAACATTTAACTAGCTTTCCAATTATGAACTGAGACGATAAAACAGTTGATTGAGCACGTTTTTTTTTATTACCATCCTTTAACAGTTTAATACATGAATTCGATATGTGACAAAAAATCAAATATTTGCGCTTTCCTCCTATTTCTCATGGACTGACCAAATCTTGAGGGTTGTTTAGGAGAGTCTTTATGGCCCTTAATTTCGAATGAAATATTTTTTTGGGGGGGGATTCAAGGAAGCAAGTATGAACATCAAACGTCGAGAGCCATGATCAACCTTCCCAACAGCTTCGAACGTAAAACCCAAAATACTAAGATGAACTTAAAATCCAAATAAAATCCATGAATCTACTGTACATCCAGCTGAAACGACTAGATGGTATAATGGGTTGTCTTACCGCATCATATGAGGTTGCATGGTTGGCTGCATTAAGGAATGCTGCAGGGGTGATGACATACCGTTGTACTGAATGGACGAATCCATATCACTAGGGGGTGGAGAGTGTCTATGGTGTTTCCTGGAGACATGTTTGTCTTTGGATCGACTATGATGTCGTGAGCTATGACCCATTTTATTTATTGATTTGTTTATATACCACAGAAAGTTTATGCCGTTTCAATATCGTTCCTAATATATTCTACTTTAAATCAGATATTTGAGATTTGAATCAGATTTATGTTGTAATCCTATGGCATTTGATTTATTCCAAACATTTAATATCATACATTATAATCAACGTGAGTTGATCCAGCGATGTACTGTTTATGACGTATCCATACATGTATATAGTTTTGATTAGTCGCATCCACGTATCCCTTTTATATCATCAAAAAATCCAATCAATCCTTGTTATAGCTAATATTTAGAAACATTTAGCCAACTTTCCATATGTTTGAATATTCCATGACATCACACTGAAAACTAAAAAAGAAGCAGTTTCTGTCTGACAGAAAACCGCAAATACTATTTCAGAGTCAAGTTTGATTTGAGATTGATATAACACAAATCAATCAAAATTAAATCATCACAATTATAATCAGTTCAGACGTTCTAAAATGACAGGGCAAAAAGTCGTAGAAAAATACATCGTAACAAAATTGTAATGTTATATTGAAATTATCTAGAAGGACACTAATGGTATAATTTAGTGCGTCTGTGTTTAAAATATCACGCTGGAAGCTGGATTACCCAGATTTTCTTCCTAAAAACACGTTTTTAATAATCATGAAGGTTGTTGTGAATTTGACAAAATAATTTAAGTGGTGAGTACGCGTGTCACGCCTGTTCACTGTAGTTGCCATCTTGGCCCTAACTTGCTTTGTATGACCTTTACGTACAGGTAAGTAGTTGTCACATTGGACATTTACGACCTGGGGACTATGGGTTAACTAAACTATGCTATATGTTACCAGTTACTGCAAATCTAATATTAAGGCAATGGATACACCACAAATTACATTTAAGTACTACTTTGACATCCCTCATTTAAATGTCTCATTTATTCCTCAATTTAGGAGAGGGGTGAAATATCCTTGGACCAAGGATGCTACTACCTTAAATCCTGTCCCCCCTGCTACAGCTAAAACCTTAATATATAGTACCTAGTGTGATATACCATTGGAAAGATCATCCAAAGTTATGTTAACTCACCAACTCTCAAGTATTTTGGATAAAATTCACCTATATTTTGATGATGTTCTTTATAGTTAGTGTAGCCTCCTTAAGCAGCTTTTATTGCGTCAAATGAGAAGAATATGATCTCGGAAATGTGTCAAAGACTTAACCTTTTTCGCATTCTTTATACAAAAAGGTTTTCACCACTTCGGACCTTGCACTTCCATTTTCTACACATCTAACCCTATCCAGAAATTGGTTTAATTCATTGCCATATACATATGTTGTCACTTTTGACTTTTGACCTTTGACTTTTCTTATACCCGATTCTTAAAATCCTGCCAAATACGCCTAATTGCCATGTTTCTAGGCCAATGGTCACCTCAATTAATACAATGGAAGGCCTTTCCAATGATATATCACACTTGGTACCATATATCTTGGGTTTGGCTGTTGAGGGGGGTATATATCGTATAACTAAAATAAGTATTTTCATCGTAGGTTTAAGTAAATAAAAATTCAAAGGTAAAGAGGCTTTAACACGTAGTTCAATGGGGGAGCTAAGGTTGCCAAACTTATGGAGGGGAGTGTATATAATGGCAAAATTTGTTCTTTCAAATATAGGTCTACATCTTTTAATTGTAAACTTTGTTCTCTTAAACATTGGTCTATAATAACTTAAATTGTAAAAAATGTTTTTTTTCTTAGTCTACTTATGCCTAGAGTATGTACAAATGTGAAAGCATCATAACAAACATAGTAAACAACTTACTCAGACATTGGGCGACATTTTAAACAGTTTTTACAGTCTTATTTCTGGGCCTCACCTTGTACATGTCATATCTGTTATGAATTAATGATACCATGGATTTGGCGATATATCTCGTTCACTGTTTCACGATTCGAGGATATAGATACATATGAAAAGACCATATTCAATTCACTGTTCAGCTAGATGGAAAATTGTTGTTTAGTAGTGCAACCCTGGACACATTTTTCTATTTTTATGAGTTCACGGGGTCGATTAGATTATATATTACTATCAGGACTGCGTGAATTCCATATATTGCAAAATGATATTTTACTCTAAAACATATATTAACACACTCAAATTTCTTTAATATGCAAGGAGATGTTTGGTGGTTGTCTTGTCCAGTGTTATAAAATATGTTTTTTATATTCGTGTGTTTGTTTCATTTATGAGAACATCACACAAGGAGAATGATTTCAGTTTTAATTTGAAAAAGTGCTCATTTGAATTTTTCTACATAAGGCAATGTTGCAAGAACTTGAAGAACCTTCTGTTAACAATGCAGGTTAGATGGCTATTGTAGCAAATGGTAATATTTGAAGATGCCTTTGCTAAAAATTTCGCTAAACTTATCTGTTCAGAAAAACGTTTGCCAACCACCAATAAGCCTACATGGCCTAAAGCCACTTTAGGTTGACTTTTCTAGTTGATTGCGGTTGATTGACATGATTATTCGTTATTGACTTTTATTTTGCCAATCAATGTATATTTGCAAGTATTATCAGGGTCGTATCACCACTTTGATTACAGCGGTAACACGTAACTTGACATGCAGCTAAAATTAAGCCACGTAATAACAGGGGCATAATTAGGCCAAACAAGGACTTTATTAGGTTTATTACAGTGGAACTTTTAGCCTGAAATCGGGTCTCCTTTTCAGAGTAAAACAACAGTTTCAACTCATTGCCTTATTTGAAAAAAACGTTTTCTTTTCTTTTTTAATAGGTATAAAATGGCCGAAATATTTTCCAAATGCAAGAATGATATTTAAATGTAATTTTGCCTCTTTTTACCTCTGTATGTTTTTCCAGGTCCATGCGATGGAATCATTTTTCAGTATATTTCATGATAATAATGCTGTGTGTTTGTCGTATTGCTCATAGTCCATTCTCCTTCTTTTTTATTTGACATAAGGGTGTTATTTCATCACGATCACCCAGGCTCTTGTCAGTCCTTTTGAGAGGTAAATATTTATTGTCGACCTAAGATATTTTTTTTTCGTCGTGATTGCCGTTGGAGAAATGTCTATTTAGATAATATGTGTTTGCAAAAGCTGTGTACACATATAACTAGATCTTTTTCAAATACTTCTCGAACAAATGCAACCAATGACGTGCAACCAAAGGTTAACACTTATCATCCGAACCACTGATCAGCATCAGGATACACTGATGGACTATTTTATCGGCAATTTTGTTACAACTAGAAACTGATCCCACTCTAGGATCCCATCATAGTCCCACTTTACTTTGACGATTTGGCCTTAATTCCTACCACGCCAAGCGTACATATGTTATTAAATCCACAACACCTTGGAAGTGTGACTGGGGTAATCATACGTAATCTTTCACCGCTGAGGCTACGTGTACGTGTAGGGTGATCGGTAATCGTATATGAAAATTTTCCCGTCAGTCGTACTCTGAGTGATGGAAACTCGTATGAGTGTGGCGTCCAAACACAAAATGGTGAATAATACTTTGGCGACGACGGAAGATAAAATATAATCTGATTGACGGAATATCACAGCCAAAACTCATTGGCAGTAGGGCGAGTTTAGTCAATAACGAAAAAGTAATTTTCTCCGCCATTTTTAAATATACGGTAAATATCCTCAATATATCCTCATACTGACTAGTGATATCGGACATGTAATTCTGCTCTGATGTTAATGAAGCATTTTGCGAGCTCGATAGGCGCCAAAATGCAACAAATATCAAGAACAGTTTATTATGTCGCTTGAAATGTATGAACATTTTTTTGTATGAATTCAAATCATTTTCTCTAGAAATCTGCTGTTAATCGTTCTGACATTTTGTTGGCAGGACATCATTTCTAGCTTTGCGTATTTCTGCCTGTTATTAAAAAGCCAAAAACAACAACATAACACAACTGTGTACTAACTTGGTGAGGCCACGGGAGCAATGTCCCAAGCAAGGCCTCAAAATAAGTGCTGTAAGGAACTTTATCCTCAAATAAAACAACGAGACGATTAGCAGAAGTTACTAGTATCCCTTTTCCCAAATGATAAGCTTGAATAAAATTTTATGTTAGTCTCATCTTATACTAACTACGATATTTCTTCTATTTTACTTAATATGTTTTGGTATATTATAACGATTGCAAATTAATATTTATGAAACTGTGAATTATTCATGTTAACATAATTTCGTGGTCGTTACAGGGTAATGGCAGAACAAATTCCGAATGTATTGTACGAGATAACAGAGATGTAAAATGCAAGCATATGGAATTTAATAACATCACTTGATAAATTAAATAACCCACCTGGTTGAGTTTGCTATTTCTCAGATTTACTCTCCTTGGCTTTATCGGGTGATGTTTCTACGTCTTCCTCGTACTTACAGATGTTTCACTTGCTTATATCCTCGAGTTGGTCAGAAACTAAGCAGTTTGATTGCAAAATTGTGTGAGCAATGGAAAAATACAAAAATCCTTTAATAGTCTTATGTGCTGAATCATGCACTGTTGGGCGTGGCTTTTAAGGTTTATTCGTGTGTTTCATGCACCTTTTCGGCCGCGTACTGTTTACCTTGGCCAATCGATATATGTCTAGTTCAATGGGTGGCGAGCCTTTGTAGACGAACATAAACCTTTAAATGAATAAATACCTATCCGTATCGACTTTAATTATTGACCGTATTCAAGAATCGCAGTTGGAGAAAATATAAAATTAAAAGTCAGGCTACGTTGTTCATTCTCCACAAGTTCTCCATTGTATAGGTGTTCATATCTTCCAGTCTCAAATTGGATGGGGAATACAAGACCAGAGTGTATTGATGGACATGCCAGAATTCTGTGTAGAACAAGTAAAAATTACAAGTCCATGATTGAATCAATTACTCTAAGAGCGAGGAGGAAAATTCTTAATAAATGGAGTATAGTTGGTTTGGCAGCATTTTCAGTTAGAGGGAAGTCTTGGATGAAAATTCTACCTAGGTGATAGCTTCACAGAGTGGTACATAATTCTTTTTTTTCAGGGGTTAGCCCCCCACCCCCCAAAAAGACCCCACCCCCGGAAAATATTTTTTTCATCTTCAATAATTTTAGATATCTTGATGTTTTTAAATTACATACATAGACATTATACATATGAATCATTTGCAAAATAAATAATGCCAATCACTCCTACAGAATTTGGAAAATACTACAAAGTATGTACCCCAGGGGGCAAATTCGTGACCCATTTTCTTACTATCTAGAGCCTCACTTTTCAATCAGACACTGGAAGACATTGAACATTTTCATGCTAAGTGCCCAGTAGCAGGGCTATAAGCTCTGAAAGGTTCAAACTAATTGAATCAGTAGGAGCCGAGAAAAAAATTGTTGATTTTTTGAAAATTTTGACATTTTTGAGAGGGGTGATTTTGTGTATGACTATAGCTGATGCCTATGGTTTCCAGATCTATCCCTCTTTGATGATAAATATGGATTTGGAGTATGGAACTAAGATGTAAAAAATAATTAAAATGGGTTTTAAGGAAGTTAAATGTTTTAAACAAGTTCAAAATTCCAAGAATTGTACAATATCAGGTCTGAATTCACGAATTTTAGGTAAGACCTTGGATAAGCCTTAGATTTTTTAAATATATCCCCCTTTGATGATATTTATGGCTTTGTAGTGTTGAACTAAGATGTACAAAATAATCTAGATGGTTTTTAAGAAGGTTTAAGGATTTTAACAAGTTCAAAATTTGAAGAATTGTACAATATCAGGTCTGAATTTACGAATTTCAGGTAAGACCTTGGATGAGCCTTATATTTTTCACAACTGTCCCTCTTTGATGATATTTATAGATTTGTAGTGTGGAACTAAGATGTACAAAGTAATTTAGATGGTTTTTAAGAAGGTTTAAGGATTTTAACAAGTTCAAAATTTGAAGAATTGTACAATATCAGGTCTGAATTTACGAATTTCAGGACAGACCTTGGATGAGCCTTATATTTTTCACATCTGTCCCTCTTTGATGATATTTATAGATTTGTAGTGTGGAACTAAGATGTACAAAGTAATTTAGATGGTTTTTAAGAAGGTTTAAGGATTTTAACAAGTTCAAAATTTGAAGAATTGTACAATATCAGGTCTGAATTTACGAATTTCAGGTAAGACCTTGGATGAGCCTTATATTTTTCACATCTGTCCCTCTTTGATGATATTTATGGTTTTGTAGTGTGAAACTAATATGTAAGAAATAACCTAGATGGTGTTGAAGAAGGTTTAAGGATTTTAATGAGTCCAAAATTTGAAGAATTGTACAATATCAGGTCTGAATTTATGAATTTCAGGTATGACCTTGGATGACCCTTATGTTTTTATATCTGTCCCTCTTTAATGATATTTATGCTTTTATACTAATGAACTAAGATGTAAAATATAATTTAGATGAATTTTAAGAAGGTTTAAGGACTTTAAAAAAAGAAGGTTTAAGGATTTTAACAAGTTCAAAATTTTAAAAATTGTATAATATCCGGTCTGAATTTACGAATTTCAGGTAAGACCTTTGGTGAGCCATATATTGTTTACATTTGTCCCTGGTTGAAGATATGTATGGTTTTGTAGTGTAGAACTAAGATGTAAAATAGATGTAAAAAAACAATTAAGATGGATTCTAAGAAGATTTAGGGATTTGAGGAAATCTTGGCGCATTGTACAATATTAATTCGGCAATTAACACGACATTTCAAATATAACCTTGGTTGGCTCTAAACATTTAGAAAAAATGGAGTCCCTATTTATAATTTTTCATGGGGACTTCACTTGAAAGAAAACATTTTTTTAAAATAAAAACCACTGTATTTATGCCCAGAAAGTACTCATGGTGAAATATATGACCGTCTAAAATCACTTGCCATACTGCAATGCACATGGACCTTTTTTAATATTTCTGGCTTATGTCATTCCTTTTCATGTCTATTTGCTAATAATACCCAAACTGCATGTACTTTATTTCAGGAAAACTAAAGATTTCTACAATAATGTATTATTTTTCCATAAGCATGGTTACCATTCTTATTATTTTGGGAGAATTTAAACATTTTTCACCCATTTTTGCTTTTTGAATCCATTATTACTTCATCAATTTTTAACACATCGTGAATCTTTTTGGGGATATTGTATTTGAGATTGTAAGGAATGGATTGGTACATGAATTGTACATGTTGCTTGTAATTTTGTCACACCCATAGATCTGATTCTGCCTTTAAACTTAACACATCGTGAATCGTTTTTGAAATATTGTATTAGAGAATGTAAGGAATAGATTGGTACATGAATTGTACATGTTGCTTGTAATTTTGTCACACCCATAGATCTGACCTTTAAACTTCCTTAAAACCCATTTAAATTATGTTTTACATCTAAGTTCCATACTACTAAACCATGTATATCATCATAGAGAGATACATACCTGAAATTCATTAATGTCAGAAGATATGATATTGTACAATGTGTCAAGTTTTGAACAGGTTTAAAACCTTAAACCTCCTTAAAACCCATCTAAATTATGTTTTACCTCTTAGTTTCATACTACAAAACCATATATGTCATCATAGAGAGATATATGTTAAAAACGAATAAGGGCCATTCACAGTTATACCTAAAATTAATAAATTCCAGACCTGTTATTATACAATTCTTCAATTTTTTAACTTCTTTAAACCTTAAGCTTCTTTAAAACCTGTCTAAATTTTGTTTAACCTCTTAGTTCAACACTACTAAAGCATATATGTCATCAAAAAGGGATAGATGTTAAAACATAAGGCTCACCTAAATACCCCAAATTCATGAATATCAGCTCTGATATTGTACAATTCGTCAAAATTTGAACTTGTTTAAAACCTTAAACTTCTTTAAAACCTGTCTAAATTTTGTTTTACATCTTAGTTCAACACTACTAAAGCATATATGACATCAAAAAAGGATAGATGTAAAAACATAATACCTAAAATTCATTAATATCTGCTCTGATATTGTACAATTTGTGAAAATTTGAACTTATTTAAAACCTTAAACTTCTTTAAAACCCATCTTGATTATGTTTTATATATTAGCTCCACACTACTAAACCATATATATCATCAAAAAAGGATAGATGTTAAAAATATAAGGGCCGAGCAAGGTTATACTTTAAATTCATGTACTATACGCCAAGATTTTGAACTTGTTAAAAAAATGTTAAGCTTCTTTAAAACCGATGTAAATTATGTTATACATATTTCCACACAACTAAACCAAATATATCATGAAAAGGGGATAGGTGTTAAAATCATATGGGCTAACCAAGGTTATATTTGAAATTCATTCATTGCAGACCTGATATTGTACAATTCTTCAAATTAAAATCCTTAAGCCTTCTTAAAATGCATCTAAATTATTTTTTACATCTTAGTTCCACACTACAAAACCATACATATCATCAAATAGGGATAGGTGTAAAAAAATATAAGGCTCATCCAAGGTCTTACCTAAAATTTGTAAATTCAGACCTGATATTGTACAATTCTTCAAATTTTGAACTTGTTAGAATCCTTAAACCTTCTTAAAATTCATCTAAACTATATTTTACATCTTAGTTCCATATCATAAAACTATAACTGTCTTTAAAGAGGGGCAGATGTAAAAAATTAAAGAGTCGTCCAAGGTCATACCTATAATTCGAAAATTCAGACCTGATATTGTATAATTCTTTAAATTTTGGACTCATTAAAATCCCTAAACACTCTTCAAAACCATCTAAATCATTTTTAACATCTTAGTTCCACATTACAAAACAATACATATCATCAAAGAGTGACAGATGTAAAACATAAGAGCCATCCAAGGTCTTACCTATAATTCATAAATTCAGACCTGATATTGTGCAATTTTTCAAATTTGGAACTTGTTAAAATCCTTAAATCTCTTAAAATTCATCTAAATTGTATTTTACATCTTAGTTTCATACTATAAAACCATAAATATCATCAAAGAGGAACAGATGTAAAAAACAAAAGGGTCGTCCAAGGTCATACCTGAAATTAGAGAATTCAGACCTGATATTGTACAATTCTTCAAATTTTGGACTCATTGAAATCCCTAAACACTCTTCAAAACCATCCAAACCATTTTTTCCATCTTAGTTCCACACTACAAAACAATACATATCATCAAAGAGTGACAGATGTAAAAAAAACATAAGAGCCATCCAAGGTCTTACCTGAAATTCGTAAATTCAGACCTGATATTGTACAATTCTCCAAATTTTGAACTTGTTAAAATCCTTAAAGCTTCTTAGAATTCATCTAAATTATATTTTACATCTTAGTTCCATACTATGAAACCATAAATACTATCAAAGAGGGGGGATTTAAAAGACATAAGGGTCATCCAAGGTCATACCTGAAATTCATAAATTCAGACCTGATATTGTACAATTCTTCAAATTTTGGACTCATTTAAAATCCTTAAACCTTCTTCAAATCCATCTTAATTATTTTTTACTAATTAGTTTCATACTACAAAACCATACATATCATCAAAGAGGGACAAATGTAAAAAATATAAGGCTCATCCAAGGTCTTACCTGAAATTCGTAAATTCAGACCTGATATTGTACAATTCTTCAAATTTTGAACTTGTTAAAATCCTTAAACCTTCTTAAAAACCATCTAAATTACTTTGTACATCTTAGTTCCACACTACAAATCTATAAATATCATCAAAGAGGGACAGTTGTGAAAAATGTAAGGCTCATCCAAGGTCTTACCTGAAATTCGTAAATTCAGGCCTGATATTGTACAATTCTTCAAATTTTGAACTTGTTAAAATCCTTAAACCTTCTTAAAAACCATCTAAATTATTTTGTACATCTTAGTTCCATACTACAAAACCATAAATATCATCAAAGGGGGACAGATGTAAAAAATCTAAGGCTCATCCAAGGTCTTACCTAAAATTTGTGAATTCAGACCTGATATTGTACAATTCTTGGAATTTTGAACTTGTTTAAAACATTTAACTTCCTTAAAACCCATTTTAATTATTTTTTACATCTTAGTTCCATACTTCAAAACCAGATTTATCATCAAAGAGGGATAGATCTGGAAACCATAGGCATCAGCTATAGTCATACACAAAATCACCCTCTCAAAAATGTCAAATTTTTCAAAAAATCAACAATTTTTTCCTCGGCTCCTACTGATTCAATAAGTTTGAACCTTTCAGAGCTTATAGCCCTGCTACTGGGCACTTCACATGAAATTTTTCAATGTCTTCCAGTGTCTGATTGAAAAGTGAGGCTCTAGATAGTAAGAAAATATGGTCACGAATTTGCCCCCTGGGGTACATACTTTGTAGTATTTTCCAAATTCTTTAGGAGTGATTTGCATTATTTATTTTGCAAATGATTCATATATATAATGTCTATGTATGTAACTTACAAACATCAAGATATCTAAAGTTATTGAGAATGAAAAAATTATTTTCCGGGGGTGGGGTGTTTTTGGGGGGTGGGGGGCTAACCCCTGAAAAAAAAGAATTATGTACCACTCTGTGAAGCTATCACCTAGGTAGAATTTTCATCCAAGACGTCCCTCTAACTGAAAATGCTGCCAAACCAACTATACTCCATTTATTAAGAATTTTCCTCCTCGCTCTTAGAGTAAATAGGCAACTTGTATTTCTGCGTTTGGTCATTGAACGACAAGGACTGCCTTCTTTAAATACTGCATATAAATTACTTCTACGTCATTTCAATCTCTGATATTTTCATATTTATCTAATTGATATTGTATTTCAATTTAAATTTTTCTTATAAATTATCCAATATCAGACTGTTCATGAAAAAATGTAGAAAAGTTGATCGGGTATATAAACAAAATTATTCGATAGAGTATTATGATTTGGGATTCTATCCCGAGCTAAATATCCCGTGTTTGCAGCTTACTTAAATTCCAGTTATTTTTATGCTGTGTTATTTAAAAATTGATTCACTACATAGAATTTCAGGGTAGAGAGTGTTATTGAATTCGTAAACTCTAAAACGCCAATATTTTCCATACAATCCTCATTTCTTTTTCGAAGACAATTAAGATCAAATATAGAAGATAGCCAAAATTTAAGATGGATACATGTTTAAGTTCATCAAAATTGGATAAAGAATGTCAAATGATGTTACATAACCTTACAATATGACATATGACACTATAAAGAAACAACCCCTTTAGATCTAGATTGAGGCTAAAAGGAAAAAGCAGCTTCAATTTTAATGACAATACTGATAATAATAATACAATAAAAATAACCAAATATTTAGCATATTCAATTTCATATATTCACGATATAAGTGCACATACATAAACATATGTATGACTTTATTATATATAGTATCACAATTCATTGATAGTATTTTAACATTTTTGTACACTTCTTTTGTCTGCATTTCATATACACAACAATCAGACAATGGCCTCTGCTGCTCCATCATCAATAAGACATTTCATTTATTTATATTAAGTTAAATACTACTTGGTCTCATTTGTTCATATTTACAAACACGATTTATAAATATATACAATTTCATCATTCCTTTTGGATATACAATAATTTTAACTAAAAATGGTAACTCCATTGGAGTTGCAAACCTGATGAGCAAAATCTTTGACGTTAATCATCACACATTGACATACCGGAGATGTATCTTGAAATTAACACAAACCCCTGAATTAAAATGGCAATTTTGAATTAACCGAAGTAGACTCCATGATATCTGTGATCTACTATAAAATTTTGATATGAGTAAAGAGTAAAATACTTCTGAAATCTCAAAATGAATAGATATTTTCTATTTTCTCGATGATTCTCCTCATGGGGAAATTTTCATATCCCAACTGCAGAAGTTATTCGGTTGGGGTGATTCTGTTATCAATTTTCATATCATCCACTATCACTACATTAATACGAAAAGGTTCCACTTCTAGGAAGTTTTCACGGTCAGAGATAGTTGAAATCTTGAAAGTTTGGAACAGATGATAAACTCAGGTTCAAATCATCTTGTCACATTGTAATTTCTGTGTGTGCAACTAAGATGAATACTATTTAGAGCGTTGCTATGGTGACGCCCTCTCTATGCGGAGGAGTTCACCTTCTGTTGTGACAACAAGATTTCCTTCATCTTGGGTGAGGTCATCCTGAGGTTGATCTTCTGAATCATCCTCTTCTTCTCTACCAACATGATCATGCTGCAAAGACAAACAGTTAAAGAATTAACAAAATAAAACTAACTTTGTGCTGGTTAACAACCTATTAGCCATACAGCATGGGTACTAGAATCCTGTTTTTCCACGCCACGGCACAAAAAATGCAGAATTTTTAGTTTTGAAAAAATTTGCAGAATGTTGAATTTCTGTTGATTTTCGTGGAATTTTCACAGAAGTAACTAGCATTGTTTGAGCTGCTTGTAGATCATTTAAATTATTTGTAGCTCACTTTTTTAGGGATTTAAACAGAAAACTTTTTATTTTTTTTTATTTTTTGAGGTTGCTTTGTCAAGAACACCTAATGTGAGTCACGAAATATGTGAAGGTACTCGTTTTCTCTTGCTCCTGGCCAATATATCATCTCTATATTGTTACTAAATATATGTGTTGTCAAATACATGATCATATATGGCAGTTTTATTTTGATTTTCAAACTATTTCAACAAAAAAAGGTGAATTGTTGCAGAATTTCACATTTTTGCTTGCAGAATTCTATTTTTTCTTGCAGAATTTTGCATTTTGTAGCACAGAATTCTAGTAGCTCTGATACAGGTTAGAGTGTTATTTTGTCTGATCAAGTTTTTAATTTGACAAATTAGTCCCTTGGTAGTACAAACCAAGCACAATTTTTGTTTTAGCCCAGCCTGTCTACGTTCAGAACCCTGTACTTAGAACAGAGGAAACTGGTCCACCGAATCAGGTGAATTTCTCCAAACTTGGTAATTACATATTCTTGTTGACACTATAATTACCTGGTCTTCTTGATGATCAATTCTAAGCTCTTCCCCAGACTCTGCTGTCATTCCCTCCCCATCTTCCTGGCCCATTGGAACAGCCACTTGTTCTCCCTCTTCTGACCTTAACCCCTGGTATACAACAATACAACAAGGTAAAGTGATGATGTGATGTGAGACATTAAACATTCAAACTGAAGACAAAGATCTTCACACAAAACTGCGTCTCAATTTGTTCATCAATTTTTATGCCATGTAGGTTCCCCATGGAGCTCATGTTTTACAGGTATTATGAATAATTATCAAATCCCACCAAGCAAAAATTTTTTTGAAAAATAGTGACCTTGAAAATGTTTTCTTGCCCCTTGGTATCAGCATACAAAATTTGATCCAAATCTGTCTACTGGTATTTGAGGTATCGAAGATCATATTTTTTTACGAAAAATGGCAGCCATTTTAAAAGTCAGCTGTCATTTTGAAAATTTCTTATCAAGCAGAACTCCTTTGACGCCAGGCATCAGCATATAAAACTTGCAACCAAATCAGTCCAGCACCTTTGTCTCTAGGCATCAGCACATACTATTTGAACCACGTCTTTGAACTGGTATTTAAACTGGTAATTCAGCTACCATCTTAAAAATTCCTTCTTAATCAGTGTCCCCAGGCATCAGCATATAATATTTGAATGAAAAAAAATGGGAACCATTTTGAAATTCAGTGACCATTTTGAAATTCAGTGACCATTTTAAAAATCTCTTCTTGTGCAAAGCTCTATTTTCCCTTGGCATCTGCATATAAAATTTGAATGAAAAAAATGGGAACCATTTTGAAATTCAGTGACCATTTTAAAAATCTCTTCTTGTGCAAAGCTCTATTTCCCCTTGGCATCAGCATATAAAATTTGAACCAAATCTATCAACTTATATTTGAGTTCTCAAAATTTGAATCAAATCTATTAACGTGTATTTGAGATGTTGACTGGACAAATGAACAGGACTAACGCATGGGCAGACAGCTTCTCTATATCCCAACAAACTTCATTCAGTCGGATAATAAAAAGGTCAGAAAATTGATCCACTTAATCTACTTAATATTCAAGTTTAGGAACCTTTTCTCTGCCATGGTGAAAATGGTAACACCCACTGGCACCTCAGTAAATATGCACCCATAGAGTAGCAAATTCCACCTAACATGTTTTCTCAAACTATTCCTTATTTTACTTAATTCATCAAAAAGGACATTGGATGCATAACCATTTCACAGTCAAACAAAATCCATCAAGCAAAATTCAAATAATAACAGAGTTTGTTATGACATCAAAAGAAGTTACTATCTGACTCAAACGGCATTTTGAAAACATATTTCAGAATATGAACAAACCTTGAAAATCCAACAAGTTACAGCCAAAAACATTAAATTATTGCCATGAAATGAGATGCCATTTTGAAAAAATCTTTTGGACAGATTTTGTCCAAATTCATAGCACATTAATTTAGGTACTTGGTGTTACCTGAATTATCTGTCCATCTTGCAGGATTTGTATATGGTGTCCTTGTTGTAGCTGATTGATCTGCTCTGGTGTTGCATGGAGTACTTGTATCTCACCCTGTTGAATCATTTCCCCTGCTTGTCCCCTTTGGAAGGCATTTGCTATGGCCTGCTGGAGATCTGCTTCAGAGGGCTGCAAACATGTATATTTATGTGAATTTTACCTAATTTTCAAATCTGGAATTATTCAAATCAGTTATCTGCTTTGGATTTCTTTGTGTTGACATTTTCTGAGAACATAAAATATTTTGGCAAGCGGATGAGTAAACATTTTTTTACTTATCTCTTGCTACCATGGAACAAAGATGAGATTACATCTTACCTGATTCAGATGTACACTGGCACCATCTTGCAGCTGCTGTAGACCATCTTGATTGTTGGGTGAAATCTCACCAGCTTCTTCCATTGAAATATATGCAGGTGGTGCTTTACCCCGGAATGCCTTCACTGTTAGGGGGAGACCCTTCTGTTTGCGACGAAATGCAGTGCGGCACTTGGAATCCATATTCAGCTTTATTCTATGCCAGTCTGATTCTGTTATTGCAAACTTGTGGATCAAGTGGCCTAAAAGTTCAGAGAAAGTGGTCAAATATCTTGTATGGCAAACTCTTTAATATATTTGTACAAAGTGTGTCAAATAACAGGTCAAATACATACTTTTTGAACGTGCATATAACTAAAGCATAATTGCAATATTAGTTTGATCCAACTCGTGGACAGATTGAAAAACAGACAGAGGGACAAACAAATACTGGATACAACATGCTCATTGTGTGACCCTTTTTAGTATATATGGTACTAATAATATTGGGAACTATGTATTTTTTTTATTTTATACACTTCAGGTAAATGTTTATATTATGTACTTATTATGACTTACACCTTATGCCATAAATCATGAGTGGATCCAGCTGTTTCTTGCCATACTTGCCCATTCCGCTGAGGTTGGAACATGCCTGGATATCACGATCAAATAAATAGTCCAACATGGTCAGAGCCATCTTTTCAGCTGTGCGACAGTTTGAATGAATGTGGATCATGTCACTGAAATAATGTGCAGCATGGAGATAACTTCAACTGAACTAATGTGTACCATGTGGGACTTTCAATCACATTACAAGTGCAAAAAAGAGCAAAAATATATGTTTAATGTCACAAATTTTCTTGGTTTTTTTCTGATCGCTTTCCATTTCTATAATTGCATTTGCCCATGGTACAGCCATGTCCAACAAGGCATTAACACGACAAAATGTCACCACCTAGTTGCTCAAAATATAATTAGTTCAATCTTAAGTCAGATATGAATTTCTGAGAACTCTGTAGATGATTTTTTAAAAATTGGTCAATTTAAAGCAAATTTTTCACCCTGAGAAGGTCATTGAAGGTGGAATCTAAAATCTTAAGTCAGATTTGAACTTCTGAGAACTTGTAGATGATTTTGAAAAAAATTGGTCAATTTGAAGCAAGTTGTAAAAAGACCCTTTTGACCCAAGGGAAAAATCAATACCCGGTGATTTCAGCGGGAAGTGGCGTTTCGTTCAGTGGATGAGCTGCGCGCGGACGCATAAATGTGATTATCCAATATTATTTAGGGGAGGGTTATTTGAAACAGTTTTTGGTCTCAGGCGCGACCCAGGGCTGTTGTCTTAAGGTTGAAGACCACAGTAGAGTTTCCCATAGGTGGCCATTATAACATTTTACCCTGTATCTTATTAACGATTAGTATCCAAGCCTAGTGCAACATACCACAGTGTTCGGGAGAGACTCGCCTAGCCTGCTATAACAATCTTACCATGGGTTGTCCACCGAATTTTTGAAATAAATAAACTTGAAGACACTAACCCCCTCTATCGTCAGATTTCTCAGAGAATTCTGGTAAAATCACCAAGGTCAAAATCACTCCGCCGCCAGCTTAAAATGAGATTTCCCACTGAACTCTGACATGTTTTCAGATAAATTAGGACCTACCCTATATATATTTAGTCCCGATTCACTTCCCAAACGCTAGATGGCGCTCCAATGGGGTAGGGAAGGAGAAAATGACTTTTTATTCAGAAAACCAAATCACTAACGGTAACCGCTAATATCCTTACTCAGGACTATATCCTAATAGTAAACTGAATTAGTTTGTTTTCTTCCAACATGGTTATATTAGCATTTTAGGCATTATCCCGATCACAATGGTATATAACAATCCTATATTTGAGAAAATGCACGGAGGAAAATTCAATCCTTATAGACACAGGTCCTTTTAGCAAAATTCAGGAAATTTGATTTTGAGATTTCTTGAAATTTCTTTGGGGTAGGGGTACACCTTACAGATTGCATCACAGATTGAGTACACCCAACTGAGGTGAACATGGCCATATGGGGTATCATGGGAAAGCGATTTCTACTATCTTTCAAGTGATATCCATGCCAAGGCGTTCGATTGCATCTTATGACGTCATATTGGTAGGAAGAAACAAAGGTTCATTCAAAACTGCCCCGAAAACAATTGATCTGGCACGGGAGAATGGAATTCGGGGTACTTGGCACAGTGGCCTCGCCCCCAAAGCACCAAAATTGCTTCAAAATGTCACGATTTTGATAGCATTGTTCAGCTAAGATACAGCCCTTTAATATGATATGCGCTATTAGGCTTCTCAATGAACTAAAAAACCTCAAAAAAGGATAAAACCTTCAAAATGCCCCCAAAAAGCGCCTTCTATTAGGTTGAAGACCACAGTAGAGTTTCCCATAGGTGGCCATTATAACATTTTACCCTGTATCTTATTAACGATTAGTATCCAAGCCTAGTGCAACATACCACAGTGTTCGGGAGAGACTCGCCTAGCCTGCTATAACAATCTTACCATGGGTTGTCCACCGAATTTTTGAAATAAATAAACTTGAAGACACTAACCCCCTCTATCGTCAGATTTCTCAGAGAATTCTGGTAAAATCACCAAGGTCAAAATCACTCCGCCGCCAGCTTAAAATGAGATTTCCCACTGAACTCTGACATGTTTTCAGATAAATTAGGACCTACCCTATATATATTTAGTCCCGATTCACTTCCCAAACGCTAGATGGCGCTCCAATGGGGTAGGGAAGGAGAAAATGACTTTTTATTCAGAAAACCAAATCACTAACGGTAACCGCTAATATCCTTACTCAGGACTATATCCTAAGGATGTTCCC